GTCGATTTTTTGACGTAATGGAAATGAATTTGTAAATTCAAAGCCTCGTAGACGAATGTCGACAATGTCCACCCACGCAAACGTGCAAATGTGTCGCAACACTACGCGACATACGGTCGCACAGAATATAAACGATCAAAGTGCCGATTCTATTTCATCGTCATTACAATAGTGAGACAGCGTAAAAAGTCGTTTGAAGATTCCCATAAAACAAAACACCACGTTTACGGCGAAAAGTGGCTACTATTCGGAATTATTCGAAAAACAGCCGAAAAGGTATTCGAATACTTTGATATTCGAATACATTCGAATATTCGATTCGTTTTGGACAACCCTGCATATAGGCCTCCGATAAGACGGGTAGAAAAATTGTGTCCCTGTTGTTCAGTTATGCTGATATGCGCTAATAATTTTAAATGTTTAGAACCAGATCATGTTAGTTTGGTAGAATCATACTCACAGAATTAACTATTTTTAACAATTGAGCGGTAAATTTAAGTTGTAAAGCGGCAATCATTTTGGAATGTGATAAGTAATACACTGTACGTCCACGGGTTATTTCACAGCTGTGTTTTCCTGTCGTGTTCTGCTGAATCGGCAAAACGAAAGGGTCACAAATCACTTTATCTCGGTGGCCTAGAAAAGCGACTTATTAGCCGGGAAATACGGTAATTGTCAATTTTTCGACGTAATGGAAATGAATTTGTAAATTAGAAGCCTCGTAGACGAATGTCGGCAATGTCCACCCACGCAAACCTGCAAATGTGTCGCAACACTATGCGACGTACGGTCGCACAGAATATAAACAATCAAAGTGCCGATTTTAATTCATCGTCATTACAATACGTGAGACAGCGTAAAAAGTCGTTTGAAGATTCCCGTAAAACGAAACATCACGTTTACGGCGAAAAGTGGCTACTATTCGGAATTATTCGAAAATCAGCCGAAAAGGTATTCGAATACTTTGATATTCGAATAAATTCGAATCGTTTTGGACAACCCTGTATAATTTCACTTCAATTAATGCTATTTTAATCTAATTATCAATCTGAAAATTCAAACGTATGAAATCTACAGAACAGAAATGGTTCAATGAAAATAACAGGTAACACGTTGTAAGAAAACAATATTATATACAATTGAAACATCTGAAAACAAACTCAATACAGACATTTTAAAGGACAATCAACGATTGAAAAGCTTTGATAATAACTAATTCCGTAGGAAAACCGGGTCTTGTGTAGTTTTGTACTTCTAGTGGACGTATCATAACGATTTTTCGCATGTTAATTCTAACTCCCACCTGGCTGCGCCATCCAAAAATTACGACATTACCACAACCACGTCATAGGACTTGCTAAATATACCTATGATCGCCCGAAATGTGCCGACGATAAAGAACACTAACGGCCGTGATCTCTCTCATATCGGGATCGTTGCGATCAGAAAACGAGGGAAATAGCTTGATCGATTTCGGTTGATCGTCTACGAGTCTTTGATGATTGTTCGTACAGTTTGAAGGCCCTCATTACGTCACTGTGACGCCGTAGTCATATTATTTTTAGATGACGCAGTGAGGTGGGGGTTGGGATTGACATATGCAAAATTTGATATGCAACGCCCGCTATGAGTACTTCAGGTACTACACTAGACTAACACCTAGTATAATACAACACCAAAACAACTGTAATTACGCTATACTCAAACAGTAATATGATCCTATTGACTGAAATTACAATATTCAAACCTATCCTAAAATAATAGCCATAAAATCAGAAATTAACACACTGGTAACTTAATTAGTGAAGTAGAAACAATTTTACAGACTTAGAAGACCATAAAATCTAACTGGAAAAAAACGCAGCTGCATTTCTGCAACCCACAGCCTTCCCTAATGGGATATCAGAAGAAAGATAGACCGTGCAGTAGCGCCCTCGGTGTCTCCGACGTTAAAATACAAAATATAGCAGTAATACGAATAACAGCATTTAAAAGACCAAAATAGGTGTCGTCACAGTACTAACAATTCTTGTGCTTGATATAGAAATAAAAATGAGTAAATATTTCCCCTATTTCAGTCAATGACAATCGACGACCCGCACTTGTTTACGTGTCTTAGTCTTTTCATTCTAGTATTTGTGTTTTACAATACTGTATGCATTAGTATGCTCAAAATCTGCAATACTGGCAGTTGACGCTTATGAACATGACATTTCACATGTCGTTGCCGGTAAATGGTGCGGCGGAGCAACGAGTTTGTTGAGCAATATTAGGAACAAACCTGGATGAGTGAAATTAACAATCGCAAGTTTTATATCAAGGCATCAAGCGTCGCAAGTTTTGGGAACCGCTAGAATATCAGTTGCGGATAAAAGAAATCCCTCCCCCCTCGCCAAAAAATGTCGTTCTAACAACAAGAATAACAAGAGAGCTATGCTCAAATATATGGACACGTAGCGCCACCCAGTGGCAATAATTTTGATGACGTCATAGCGAGAAAAAAAAGGAATAGCCTTCTGGAGAAAAATTTTATCTTTAACCACTGAAAATATCAAAGCAATTGGTTCAGTATTCGAAGAGAAAAGCGATTTTTTAAAAATGGAGACGGAGACAAATAACAACAAGAGAGCTATGCTCAAATATATGGACACGTAGAGTCACATAATTTTGATGGCGTCATAGCGAAAAAAAAAAATAATAGCCTTCTGGAGAAAATTTTTATCTTTAACCACTGAAAATTTCAAAGCAATTGGTCCAGTATTCGAAGAGAAAAGCGACTTTTTAAAAACGTGTCAAAGAACAAGAACAACAACAACAACATAATATTGAAACGATCGTTATGTCCACTACGTGTCCAACAAAGAGATGAGAGCTGAATTCACGGCGGTACCGGTACCTAACGTAGGTGCGGTACTGAGTTAGCAGTCAGCCAGCATCTTACCTGTACACTGTAGGCCATATACGGTAATTGATCACAGAACAGTTGTTCCCTTGCAAATTTTATGTTGTTTACACTTTAGGACAGATAATTGATCACAGAACAATTCTTCCCTTTCAAATTTTATGTTGTTTCCAGTAGACTCTCATCAAAATAAACAAATATAGTAGGCTACAAGTGCTACAACGCTTGCATTACTGCGCTGGTAGGACCGTGAAAGAATAAGTTACGGTAATTTCATTGTGGTAAGACACCGGTACCGGCACCAGTACCAGTATCGTACTTACGTACTGAGCTACCAGTACCGGTTAGCAGTCAGCCAGCATCTTACCTGTACACTGTAGGCCATATACGGTAATTGATCACAGAACAGTTGTTCCCTTGCAAATTTTATGTTGTTTACACTTTAGGACAGATAATTGATCACAGAACAATTCTTCCCTTTCAAATTTTATGTTGTTTCCAGTAAACTCTCATCAAAATAAACAAATATAGTAGGCTACAAGTGCTACAACGCTTGCATTACTGCACTGGTAGGACCGTGAAAGAATAAGTTACGGTAATTTCATTGTGGTAAGACACCGCTACCGGCACCAGTACCAGTATCGTACTTACGTACTGAGCTACCAGTACCGGTACCGAACATGTAGGTCTGATATTCCGTTCCGCATACGATAGGCTATAAAACTTGCATTGCAGCATTAGTAATACCGCGGAAGGAATAAGTCAATTTCACTGCGTTACGGTACCGGTATGGCAACTTACCAGTACCGACCTACAGTAGCTGTAGTACTGAGCAAGACAATCGATCGCGAAACCGCTTGAAATAAGTGTAAAACAGTGTTCCCATGAGTAAAAATAAATACCACGGAATTTTGTATGAAATATCATATCTCATAGGATTCAAATAAAATTTAAGAATAAATAAAAGTAATAGCCTTCTGGGGAAAAATATAATCTTTACTCACTGAAAATTTCAAAGCAATTGGTCCAGTAATCAACGAGAAAAGCGATTTTTTCATAACGATACCAAGAAGAAGACAAATAAGAACAAGAACAACAAAAATACCAAAACGATCGTTATGTCCACTAACGTGTCCAATAACAACAAAATTTTGAAACGATCGTTATGGCCACTAAACGTGTCCAATAACAGCATAAAAGATTTATTAAAACGATTTTTCGTGTCCAAATAAGTCATGTTGTATATGAGCGCAACTCGACATATGGTCCTAAAGTTTTTTTTACAACGTATTATGCGGAATGCAATATATCGGAGAAACAGGCAGACATTTAAAATACAGAATTACAGAACACATTAGAAGCATCATCCAAAAAAACAAAGATTTCGCAGTCGGCAAACATTTCAGTCAATTAGGTCATTTCATCAACAACTTCTTGGTAATCGGACTTGAAAAACTGTATCGAGATCAAACATACCGGCAAACGAAGGGACATATTTTATCAACAAATTAAAAACATTAGAACCACTAGAAATGAATGATGAAAGACCTCGGTCAGACGAAACGTTACAGAAATATATTTGTGTTCGTGTGCAGCAAGTCATTTTCACTCTTGCTATAGCATCCCTGCGTTATACGCATACGGTTCCACTTGCGCTAAGACATAGAGCAAGGAAAGGTAGTTAGTTTCACGTAACCCCAACTGTTAGTTGTGTTATTATTGTCTGCTTAATCAGCGACTCTATATTTATCCGCCTTCTTTCCCACAACATATTTAGGTTATCTTTTATTCGATGAATGTATTATTCGATCACTTTCGATGTATTATTGATCAAAAGATTATACACATTAAACACGCCACATGGTATAACACGAATTCCTATTAAATATAATCCGTGGTTAACAAGTGCAAATAAATTAATTCTTCTGCAGAGTAGATTTTAGAACGCGCACACCAACTCCTCCATTTCGGATGTTGCCTATCAATTGTATAAAACAAATTGTGTTTATTCTTGTAACACTACAAGTAGTTCATTTTATTTATTTATTGTCATTCAAATAACATATAGTTAAAACTCAAAAATACAATTCGGCTGAAGTTATTTTTGGACTTTGTTGACTTTCTTAGCTTTCGGTTTTTTAATCGAAGGTTTCTTTGGAGTCTTCTTCGTAGATTTCTTGGTTGTGGTCTTTTTTGTAGTTTTCGTGGTCTTTTTGTCTACTTTGGTAGATGCTTTCTTTTTCATTGTTTTGTTTCCCGTTTCTTTCTTTGATACGGGCTTTTTCTTGGTGGCACTCGTTTTCTTGACTGTAGTCTTTTTCTTTATTTCGCTCTTTTGTGTACTTTTCTTGTTTTCAAGTTTTTTCGCTTTTGCCTTCTCGAGTTTTTCTTTTTCCTGTTGCTTCTTAATTGCAGCTTTTGCTTTTGCCTTGGCTTCCTTTTCTTCTTTGGCTAGTTCAGCTTTGTTGATTTTATAACATCCAGGTGAAGTTTTCGGATGAAACAGAAATTCTGATTCAATTAACTTCTTGAGATTTCTATTTAAATGTGTAGTGAAACCTTGTTGCTTGACATCAAAATTTTCCTCGATATATTTGCGAATAAAGACTCGTGATGATCCTTTCTTTTCTTCTTGTGATTTGATTGCAGCGATGATCATTTCTTTGTATCCAGGATGAGTCGGAACATGACGAGGTTTTGTTGCTTTGGTTTTCTGTGGTGACGACATCTTGATTGAAATTCCGAAGGCAGTGGATATAAATTTCAGTTTACGTTTTTTGATGATCTTCTACAAGTATGGCATTCTTTTATACTCTGAAGGCACAAGAAGAAAAGAAAAAAAGGGGATAAATCGGACGAGATTATGCGTGCGTCCCATTCACGGTCGACAACGGGATTTCGACGTTAATCGGTAATTAAAATTCGTTTGATAATTAGGCCATGATGAACGATAATAAGTCTGCAGCGAGATCAATAGCTTGTTTTAAACAACGCATAAATTTAATTAGGTCGTAAATATTCGAACAATCTTCTTGCAACACAATTTCGCAAAATCCTATGATGATGAAGATGAAATTTTATGCATAAAAGTTTCATTATGTAAATTGAAGCAGTCCGTTATCTGAACATAGGGTTTTCCGTTTGAATCGGTCTGGGCAAGCAATGCCATTTTCATAAACACCATCTTGTGATGTTGTATAAACCATTTTGTCCCCTATTCGGTTTGTAGAATGCATAAAGACAAAACATGGATTGCGCATTATCATACAAAATCATTTCAGATCGTTGGCCCAAGAAGTTAGTTCATGCAATCAAAAGCTAGAAATAGATGCCGTTTTGCTCGCTTTCTAAAAAATCTAGCATCTAGATTGATTGATCAATACATGTTCGTTTCACGCTATGAAACTCGCAAAATATATTTTGAAAAGAGGTTAGTCAAATATATATATATATTGGTAATGTAAATGCAATTTTCAGAGGCCAGCATGAGGAATTGATAATAGAAAATGGATAAACAATTTCAATATTATTTCAAAAATATTGATAAGTTTATACATATACTTTTTTACATAAATTTTAATTGAGATTTAGCTTCCATTTAAATGGCCATCGACGATCTTAATGACAGACCAGAGTTAATTTCACAAATATCGCTCGTAGTCCGAAATCACACAGTATCGCATGTGCATTATGTGATTAGTTTTAAACGTATATCATAAAACACAATTTATTACTACGAAAAATCTTGGAGTATAACATAATGTCTGTTATAAAAGAAATGAAGTTATTTTGTAGATTAGGGTTTCACAAACTGGGATGGGTCCGTGATAACTGCACATGGAGTCAAGCAACGATATATATGAAAAAATTCTCTTTAATGATTGATTTCAATCAAAAAGTCATTGCATTTTTAGTCGAACGTTGTGAACTAATATCCATTACTGTCAGAAAAGGTATTTAAAATTTTTAATTTTATTGCTTTCTGCAACGACCCAAATGTCTGAGGCTGCATTTCCAGCTCTTACCAACAGGATGACAAAATACAGGTCGAGACTTGCCTTAGAGTCGGACCTACAAGTTTGCTTGTCCCACATTATTCCCAGAATTGATAAATTGTGCAGTGAAAAGCAACCTCGTTCATCACATTATTGTCGTAACAATATCCTTCCCCGTTGGTTATAGGGACAAAAATTGTTACGGCTTAGGATGGGGGTCCGTCAAAATTAAAATTGACTAATGGGGGTCCGCGGCCCAAAAAGTTTGGGAAACTCTGCTGTAGATGATAACCGTAGTAAGGCAGGTTGTTGGGCAGGGTGACGATCTGCTCTGTCAACTCTGGTATATTTAGAATTCGATAAGTATTTCTCAATTTTGAGCTTGTATTTTCGCTTTCGAACAGACAATATAGCTGAAGAAGCCACCACGTCTTCTCTACTTTATGTATTTCTTTTGACATGATATGGAACATTGATTGCATGGCTTGATGTCCTCAGACTACTTCTTAACGACCTATCTCTAGCAGTATTTGTTAAGTAACAAACTTATCATATATTAAATCTTCAGTTTGTGAATTGACGTTTTTGGTCGTTCTTAGTATTGCATAATTCAATCATTTGTGAAAGAACCATGAGAGTTGCAAAGAGAAATAAATAAATATAGTACATCATTCAATAATCATTGAAACAAAGCAAATTGATATTTTTGACTGTTAACTATCATGAAACAAAGCCCGCGAGGGCATGAAATAATACTAAAATGTGATCAGGCATCAGGCAAATATATATAATAAAAATGACAAGTAATGTGTCGAGTGACTTGAGTAAATATTGCAAAACCAAAATCTTGATGAAGTTCAGATTTGAAGTTTTGCTTATTGGACTGAAGGCGCATAAAATTTTTATTAAAGTGGTTATTATTGTTTTTTTTTTACAATAAATGCCAATTGAAATTTTACTACAGCATTGTATGTCTTCAAAATCATTTCAATTTGATATTTGAATCATTGCAATAAAATTACAAAAAATATCATTTGATTTTTTGGTCAATCTTGATTTAGCATTGATCAATCTATTACTCTGGAACCTGGAAAACGTTGTGATGCTTTGTGGCGCATCTTGCTGATGTCACAATTGGCCAGGTGTTCTTGATTATAATTTCCTGTATGGCTCTGCATGACACATGCCGTCTCACAATATAATTCTTCCAGCAGGCGGTTACGAATAAACAATACAACAATAGACCGAGAATTGTGACGCTAAGTGGTCTTCCGTTATCTATGGCCTTCTCTCGACCCCCGAGGCGTAATTTATTGATCATGCTTCAGGAAATTGAACTGCGATTTTAGAGTAGAGAAAAGACTAGGAAATTGATGCGTTTTTGATATGGCTTCAGCCGCCCTCGCGATATATAAACTCGACCACTGACGGGTTGTTTCATCATTTGATTTGAAATCATAGTTACATTAGAGTTCCTATCTATTGACCTACAAATAATATGGCACGAACCAAGCAAACTGCTCGCAAATCTACTGGTGGAAAAGCGCCGAGAAAGCAACTAGCAACTAAAGCAGCACGTAAAAGTGCTCCGTCTACTGGAGGAGTAAAGAAGCCACACAGATACAGACCTGGAACAGTAGCTCTTCGTGAAATTCGTCGTTACCAAAAATCTACCGAACTTCTCATCCGAAAACTTCCATTCCAAAGATTGGTCCGAGAGATCGCACAAGATTTCAAAACGGATTTGAGGTTTCAAAGTGCAGCCATAGGAGCTCTTCAAGAAGCAAGTGAAGCTTATCTGGTCGGATTATTTGAAGACACAAATCTCTGCGCTATTCATGCTAAAAGAGTGACCATCATGCCGAAAGACATTCAGTTAGCCAGAAGAATCCGCGGAGAAAGAGCATGATTTTTGAATATTTGTGATATTTATTTTCTCTTCATATTATAGTGGGGTTAATATTAAAGCTTATTTTGCATGATATGTAAATGTAATTAACCTATTTATCCAGTGTCCGTTATTTTTTTTACTTCTCGTGACCAACTGCATTTAGTTCGTGCTCTTACTAATAAAACCCAATAACGATAACCGTTCGTAACAAAAGATGTAGTTGAAGCGACGAAATTTACATTCCTGGTTCGTGACATTGTAAACACTGTGAAATATTGATTAAGGAAAGTTCACACGGAGATAGTTCACGTACAGAGATGTGGGTACACCACGGATCTATGCCTTATAAGTTAATCAATGATGTCCTCCACGTACATGCAAACATTAAACGAGATTCTTGTAGTCGAAGGGCGTTTTTCACTATTTGCTAGATCGTTCGCAATTGAAAACCGCACAATAACTGTTCTAAACAACAAACTCATGGTAACAAACGCTGCATCGAATCGAGACCGTTAGATCTTGATACCCGATAATATTACAAACATCGGTATCTTCATTAGTTTTTGTCGTCCGAACGTCACAGATATTTCTTGACTCAATTTTAGGGCGCGAATTTTCAGACTAAACCAAAGGTTAAAATGTCTCTTCTTGGTCAGTAAAATATAAACCCTATTTCCAGCATTATGAATGATTAGATTAAACAAAATACTATTAAATATTTGAAAATTGTATTCAATTTGACACAAGTATTTGATGCACTGACCGAATCGCGTGTAATACCAGGTTACCCTTTGGTATTATTGAAAAGCGGATTCGGTGTAAACTATTTCCAATTGATATGATATTTAAAGAAGATTCAAATGCTATCATGAAACGCTAGTTCTAACTATTTTACCCTCAACCCTCACACTGATGTGGGGCCAATTGCTAATTTCATGTTTTATATGATTGTGTGAGGTTTTTGTATATGATATCCGTAATTTCCGAAAACTTTAATACAGTCTAATACTCGATGAGTGTTAGCAAAGTGGTGTAAATACAACACATGCGGTTGTTTTGTCTCGAGCCATGATGTAGGTGGGATGTATGAGGAAAATTGGTTACTCGGGATTACCACACGCGGGTGTTAAGCGATTTTGGAATTCAAATATGCAAAGTTAATGTAATCAATATGCTGTGTAGATTGTAAAACTTACATTAAGAGTCTATGTATGCTAATGTGTATCTTGGCAATGGATTTTTCTCTTTGTAAGTGCAATAAAAATTTTGTGTCATTAACTAGATGACGATTAAATGATTTACATAAGGTATTATTACCGTTCACTTGTCTGAGAAATGAAAACTTGGCGTTTCCGATTATTTATTAAATCGAAAGCGCCGAGGCGCAAAGTTTAGAGCCATATGAAAAGCAATTATCATTTTCTGGCGACAGGCTTATATTGTCTTTATCGCCGACTAGCGCGTTTTGAGGATAAAAATCGGGTCAATCAATGAGAAGATCACAGTTGTTTGTTTGTTTCATCATTGCATAATACTCTCTATTCGTCAAATAATATCTACAAAAATGTCGTCACCAAAAAAGACCAAAGTAACTAAACCTCGTCATGTTTCGACTCATCCTAGATACAGAGAAATGATCATCGCTGCAATCAAATCACAAGAAGAAAAGAAAGGATCTTCACGAGTATTTATTCGCAAATATATCGAAGAAAATTTTGATGTTAAGCAACAAGGTTTCACCACACATTTGAATAGAAATCTCAAGAAGTTAATTGAATCAGAATTTCTGTTCCATCCAAAAACTTCACCTGGATGTTACAAAATCAAAAAAGCTGAACTAACTAAAGAAAAAAAAGAAGCCAAGGCAAAAGCAAAAGCTGCAATCAAGAAGCAGCAGGCAAAAGAAAAACTCGAAAAAGAAAAATCGAAACAAGCTCAAAAGAAACAAGTAACTAAGAAAATTGCTAAAAAGAAAACTGATGCTCCAAAAAAGGAAAGCGTAAAAAAGACAACAAAATCAATAAAATCGAAAGAGACAAGCAAACCAAAAAAGTCTAACAATGACTTTAGGAAAACAATTACCAAGAAAAAAGTGGGAATTTCAAAAAAGATCCAGAAAAAGACAGCAAAAAAATCGACCAAGTAGAATGATTAGCATTTAAAAAATCAGTTCATTGTTTTAATTCCGAATGCATTACCATTGTTTTATTTTTATATGAGACTAATAAAATTCAGCAAATCCGCCAAACATTAAAACTTGTAACATTTTGATTGGTTATACCACATTCAAAATCTCTTTTAAACAGAAAAAAATGAGATTGCGTCATTTGTCGGAAAATGTAATGAAAGCGAACTCATTGCAAACACACACGAGATTAATTTGGATTTTCATCCATTGACTTGGTCTGAGAAAAATCTCGGACTAGATGAAAAAACATCATGTCACGGTAGACAACATTATTGGTGCAAATGTTCGTAGAGGGGAACGTTCATGTATGCTAATGTCCATGGGTGCAAATGTACATGGGTGCAAACATACATTCGTGCAAATTTCCATGAGTGCAACGTAGATGGGTGCAAATGTCAATGGGCGCTATATATAAGGGTACAAACGTACGTAGGTGTAAACGTTCAAGGGTGCAAACGTGCATGAATACGCAAACGTAAATGGATACAAACATATATGGGTACAAAAGGACATGGGTTCTAACGTTCATGAGTGCAAACGTGCATGGATCAAACGTACATTGGTGCAAATGTCTATGGGCGCAGACGTATATGGGTATAAATGTATTTTGGGTTCGAACGTAATTTCGTGCAAATGTTCATGGGCGCAAACGTATATGGGTACATACTTCCTTGGTTTCAAACGTTCACGGGTGCAAACATGGGTACGAACGTACATGGGTGCAAATTTCCATGTGTTCAGACGTAGCCTATATGGGTACAAAGTACATGGGTGTAAATGTTTATGGCTACAAACGTACATGGATTCAAACTTATAAAAGTGGATGCAAATGTACGTACAAGGGAAGAGATGGATCGCAAAGTCAGTTTCATAAACATTCTCTCGGTCCAGACATAGTTGCAATAATTAATGTGAATTCAGTATTTACATACAACAATAAGTCTACTGAATGCTTGTCCTGTCAATGGATTCAATGCATTCGTAAACCGAGAGACATCGTATTCATAAGATTTTCAAATAGATTTCAATTCGATTAGATATTATTATTGTTTATTTGTTTAACAATTGAAAATCTTGCGTTCCAGATTAATTATCGAATCGGGAGGACGACATACCATCCTTCAACATTTACACACATATCCAGCAGCCTATGAAGTAAACGAGGTTTTATTGCCATTTCCATATGAGAGATGTACATTCTAATGTTATACCCTGTAATCAGTGGTGGGATTCAAATTTCTTGTCAACCGGTTCCATCACAAAAGTCATATTTTTCAGCCGGTCCTGTTACAAACTGAACATTGACAGTAACCAGTAAAGTTAACCAGTTCGCTGGTCTCGTAAAATTCCGTGAGACGGGTCTATAGAACTGGTGCGAACTGGCTGAATCCCACCACTGTCTGTGATGATGGCGAATTCATTGCAATCACACACGAGATTAATTTGGATTTTTATCCATAGACCTAGTTTGGTCAAAATCTTGGACCAGATGAAAAAGATCACGCAACGGTGGGCAACATTATAGGTGTAAATGTACGTAGATGCAACAATATATGGAAATGTCCATTGGTGCTAACGTACATGGGTGCAAACTTAATGGTGAAAATGTTTATGGATGCAAATGTCCCTGGGTGCAAAGTATGTAGATACAAGTGCCCTGGGTACAGTTAAGGGGTGCGCAAGTGCCGGGACAATTGTACGGGGGGTGCAAATGTTCTGTTAATTAACAGCAAAGAGTTTTGGCGCAAAAGAACAGACAGCCCCATGAAATTTCTCTCGATCCACATATAGTTGCAACTGAATGCTTCATCGCATAAATTGATTCTCTTTGCTCATAGAACAAAAATATCCGAAATCTCGAAAATCGTAAAAATCACCTCAGTAATAGGATTTTGAATTTTGAAAAATTTCAATTAATGTGAATTTTCTAAAAACATACAATAATAAGTGGAAGTAATGTATGTTCTGGCTAGGGATTTGTTCAAAAAGAATTGTTTTAAATCAAGTTTTTTTTTTGCCTGTTTTGTTCAAAATGGCTGTATTATTTCATTTTTTTGTATTAAATAGGTTGAAGAAAAATGGATGTAAAAACTTGCCAAGCGCATCTTATTTGCAATAAATCCCTCAAAACGCCACAAATATCGCTAGAGGCTCATACACACCTTCTCAAGCTGTAGTTCAGTGGTTTGCGCAGTAAGACGCAACCGATAAGCCATTACGTGAACGACCCTGCTACGACGAAACCACCTTGCGAAAATTGAGATGCGATCGAATAAATGAGTTTGTATAACCTTGAAAAACTCTATCACTTCAACCTTAAAAACGAAGTATGCTAAGCATATAATAATCAAACAGTATTAAACGTAAAAATGACTTCATTTTATGGAAAAATGCCAATACATGAACTCGAAATCCATATTATGGCGCTGTAACAGATTAGTTTTGGCGTCTTTGCATCAGAGGAGTCTTGCAATTAGCATAGGCTATAGGCTAGGGTGTCACATCGTTTATATCAGTAGATTTCAGGCGATGTAAGCATATTCTTCATTATCGCAACCCATTCGTTTTGCCGAAGGCTGCCCTTGATCTAATTGCTTTTGTAGTAGGCTCCTGACCTAAGTTTCATGATTTTTCTTACTCAAAACGTCTTCTGATATCAGGGATAAACATTCCGGTTAAAATTTTATGACTTTGGTGGAGATACAAACGTTGCGATAAATGTACGCATTAGAAGTAAAAGTCAAAATACGAGTTTTTACTTACATTTTTGAAATTATAATTCCGGCTGCGTGTGCAGCTGCCAGAATGCAACGTTTTGGCGTAGTTTCGCGGCGACACAAGGGGTATTTCAAAAAAAAAATAAATACAAAAAATACAGAAAAAAAATTGATTTAAAACAAGCCCTTGTTTAAAAACACGATGTTTTTTTTTAAATTGATAAAAAACAAAACCATAGTTCTGGCAATGAATCAAATGTATTCGGAAATACAATTACAAATTTGTTTCATTAAACGAGAGACATCGTGTTTGAAGAATTTTCAATTAGATATATAATTAGTGTTTATTTGTTCAACAATTGAAAATCTTGCGTTCCAGATTTATTATCTTATCGGAAGAGCGAGGTGCGAGATTCATAGTTAGGTGCAAAGCAATCATGAATGTCTAGAGTCATATTTGTATTATCGTTATCGTTGTTTTGCGCCTTTGGAGAATAAAAATCAGGTGAATCAATAAGAAGATTACAGTTGACTGTTTGCTACATCATTGCATAATACTCTCCTTTAGTCTGCAAAAATGTCATCACCACAGAAGACCAAAGCAACTAAACCCCGTCATGTTCCGACGCATCCTGGATACAAAGAAATGATAATCGCTGCAATCAAATCACAAGAAGAAAAGAAAGGATCTTCCCGAGTATTTATACGCAAATATATCGAGGAAAATTTCGAAGCCAAGCAACAAGGTTTCACCACACATTTGAATAGAAATCTCAAGAAATTAATTGAATCAGAATTTCTGTTTCATCCAAAAACTTCCCCTGGATGTTACAAAATCAACAAAGCTGAACTCGCTAAAGAAGAAAAGGAAGCCAAGGCGAAAGTAAGAGCTGCAATCAAGAAGCAGCAGGCCAAAGAACAACTCGAAAAACAAAAATTGAAACAAGCCCAAAAGAAACAAGTGACAAAGGAAATTGCTAAAAAGAAAACTGACTCCACAAAAAAGACAACAAAAACAGTAAAATCAAAAGTGGAAAGCAAACCAGAAAAGTCTGACAAGGACTCTAAGAAAACGACAAAGAAAACAATTACCAAGAAAAAAGTGGGAACTTCAAAGAAGACCCAGAAAAAGTCAGCAAAAATTTCGACCAAGTAGAAAAATTAGCATTTCGAGAAATCAGTTCATTGTTTTAATGTATTATCCTTGTTTTATTTTTATACATTACTAATAAATTCATCAATCCACCAGTCAGTTTGAACATCGACTTTTGCTACATTGTGCATCATTATACCATTTTCGAAATCATTTTTGAACAGAAGAAAATTGAGATTGCGTTATTTGTCGAGAAGTCTATTTTTAGTTTTGCCATAATACCACTTTATTATCAATCAAAATTTAATCAATTTCAGCTTACAGCTATACTTTTACGGCAGTTGTTCGGCACACAGGACCCATTATCTTCACATCCGCGTACATTTGCAACCGCAAACTACACCAAGTACAGTTGCACCCATACATTGGTACTCATATACATATTTCACCTACGTAAATTTGCACCAACGGACATTTGATCCCACGAACATTTTAGGCTACGGACATTTGGGGCTATGTGAATTTGCACCCGCGGACATTTGCACTCACAAAAATTTGCACCAGCAGACAATTGTACCGACTTACATTTGAGCTCATTGATTTTTGCACCCGTGAACATTCACACCTCCGTTAAAATTTTCAACCACAGACACCGGGTTTGGGTTTCATTGCCAACTCTCAGTACTTTCCAAATGCGGATATTGCTGAATACAATTAACAATACAATAAAACTTCCCTATTACAGTTGAAAATTGTGAATATAGGCGCAGATGGGTCAAGTTAAATCCACCAGTCAGTTTTAACACCGGAAGATTTTTTGATACATTGTGCATCATCAGTATAACAAATTCAAAATCATGGTTACCCACAAAAAGATAAGTTTATGGCTTTTGTCGGGAAATCTATCTTTAGTTTTGCCCGGTATGTTATTCGTTGGTTTTGCCATAATACCACTTTATTATCAATCAAAATTTTACCACTTGGTTCAGCTTTTAGCTATATCCCGACAATTCATCGAATCATATTCAACTATCATAACATTGTCTCATATCAGTTAGTCACAGTTAATCATCAGTTGGTCACTCATCAGTTGGTCCACAGATGTCCATTATACCACTTTTAAAATCATTTTTGAGCAGAAAAAAATTGAGGTTGCGTCTTTTGTCGAGAAATCTATCTTTAGTTTTGCCATAACACCACTTTATTATCAATCAAAATTTAACCAATTTCAGCTTACAGCTATAATTTCACGCCAGTTGTTCGGCACACAGGTCTTATTATCTTTACATCCGCGTACATTCGCAACCGCAAACTACACCAAACTACAAGTACAATCGAACCCATACACTGGTACTCATATACATATTTCACCTACGTATATTTGCACCCACAAACAATTGCACAGACTTACTTTCAAGTCCATGGTTTTTGCACTCGTGAATATTTACACCTCCGTTAAAAGTTTCACCCATAGACACCAGTCTTGCGGTATATTGTCATTTTCCTACGAGAGATATACATGATAATGTTATAACATGTAATGAAAGCGAACTTCCAGTATTTGCCCATATGCGAATATTGCTGAATGCAAATATTCCCCTATTAAAGTTGGAAATTGTGAATATAGGCACAGATGTCCTGGCTGCAATTTACGGTTGCGAATGTTAGTTGGCGCAAAGAGATTGCAACCAATATATGGCATCATATTCGGAGAAAGAGTACGAGGACAAATTTCGGACTTGACAACTGATCAGAAATTCTAATACCAGTCAGTTTGAGGTAGCTTTCATTCAAAATACAAAGCTAAAAATACCCAAAAAATAGTTTTTTATGAAAGATCACGTAAATGCTTTATTATACAGTATATGCACTGTGTATAGTGCGTTAGTTGTATATTTGGTTGGCTGTACAGTGCATATTTTGTTTGTCATGTCGTACCCGGGCCGAACTTAGACGATGAGAACTCTAGGCGTTAGGGCCTAGGCTACGCTGCTTGTGTGACCCTATTTAACAATGGCCTATTTAACAATGTCGTCACGAAGAATCATTTATTATATCATACTGTATTTTTCGTATAATGTAAAATAAAAATCATCCAGTAGATCTGATACTAAGTTGAATTTAAAAACACTTTAGAAAATTTGAAGCTGTATGAAAATTCACGACACTAGAAAACCTGACGTCATAATAACCGTTCCTAGTCACAATCTTTTATCTTTCAAAAATAAAGGCATTATTCCGATAAAAACTAATCAATTAATTCATATTATCATGTTTCGTTTAGGTTAAGCGGTAAAATGTTTCAAATTCAAACGAATTCATTTGTTCTACCGTATTTATTTTTTTCAAACGGTAAATATTTGGGACAAAAATTATAAAACGGATTGAAATATTAAACAAGAAACAGCTTTTAAACTATTAAACGAGCCTTGGAACGAGCCTTCAAAATGTTAAAACAACTGAAGATGATTAACAATTGAATGCCTCATGGCTATAATTATTGTTTATTTGTTTGACAATTGAAAACCTTGAGTTTCAAGTTATTTATCTTATCGAAAGGTCGAGGCGCGAGATTTGGAGCCCCATGCGAAGCAATTAAAAATTTTCTGGTGTCATATTCGTATTGCGCTTTTGTAGAATAAAAATCGGGTTTATCAATAAAAATATTACAGTTGACTATTTGCTACATCATTGCATGATACTCTTTCTTAGTCTGCAAAAATGTCGTCACCACAGAAGACCAAAGCAACTAAACCTCGTCTTGTTCCGACTCATCCTGGATACAAAGAAATGATAATCGCTGCAATCAAATCGCAAGAAGAAAAGAAAGGATCTTCACGAGTATTTATTCGAAAATATATCGAAGAAAATTTTGATGTCAAGCAACAAGGTTTCACCACACATTTGAATAGAAATCTCAAGAAGTTGATTAATTCAGAATTTCTTTTTCATCCAAAAACTTCACCCGGATGTTATAAAATCAACAAAGCTGAACTCGCTAAAGAAGAAAAGAAAGCCAAGGCAAAAGTAAAAGCTGCAATCAAGAAGCAGCCGGTCAAAGAAAAACTCGAAATACAAAAATCAAAACAAGCCGAAAAGGAACAAGTAACAAAAAAAATTGCCAAAAAGAATACTGCAAGTGCAACAAAGACAACAAAAACAGTAAAATCGAAAGAGGCAAGCAAACCAAAAAAGTCTGACAACGGCTCCAAGAAAATAATTATCAAGAAAAAAGTGGGGACTCTAAAGAAGGCTCAGAAGAAGACAACGAAAAAATCGATAAAGTAGAAAGATGAGCATTTCGAAAAACAAGTTCACTGTTTATGCATTACCATTTGTTTTATTTTTATACGTGATTACTACAATTCATCAATCCACCAGTCAGTGTGAACTCCGAAAGAAAGAAGACTTTCGCTACATTGTGGTATCAGTATACCGCTTTCAAAATCACGATTAAAAAGAAAAAATTGAGTTTGAGGCATTCGCAATCGTAAACTGACCCCGGGACATTTGAAACCATAATTTGGTACTCATATACAGATTGCACCTACGTATATTTGCTCCCAAGTACATTTGCGGTCACGTACGAGTGTACCCACATATATTTGTACTCGTGAACATATGTATATCCATAACCCACCAATAGACAGACATACGTATACCGATGGATTTTGCACAGTTATTATTTACATCCGTTACCATGTACAGAAATAGTCATTTTCCTTCGAGAGATGTACATTCATATGTTATAACCTGACTTTGGATTTTCATCCATGGAATTAGGTTGAGCAAAATCTCGGACCAGGTGAAAAACATCATGTGGTGGTAGACACCATTATGGGTGCAAACGTACATTGATGCAAATGTCCATGGGTGTAAAGCACACTAGTTCAAAGCACATTGATGCAAACGTTCATTGATGCAAATGTCCTTGGGTGCAAACTTATATGAGCACAAACGTACATGGGGGCAAAGTATATGAGTACAAGCGTACATAAGGGCAAACGTCCTTGGGTGCAAACGTACATGGATACAAACGTACATGGGTGCAAACGTGCATGAGTGCAAACGTACATGGGTTCAAACTCACGCGAAGGCAAATGTACGTAAATGCAAATTTCCCGATGTACAAACGTACATGAGTGCAATCGAACATGGGTGCAAATGTTCATGGGTGCAAACGTACATGGGTTCAAACTTACGCGAGAGAAAATGTACGTGCATGAAAGTGCACGTGAGTGCAAATGTCCCTCGGTGCAAAAGTAGGCATTTGAAAATACCCTGGGTGAAACTGTACAAATATGCAAATGTTATGTCAACGGCAAAGAGTTTTGGGGCAGAACGACAGACACTCTCAAAAAATTTGTCGTGATCCACATATAGTTGCAATCAAATGCTTAATTGGATTAAATGATCAAAACATCTTGAAGTTCAAAAATCGAATTTTACTGAGGGCTGTCTCTCAGTACTCAATGACTAGCCCATGCTGTAGAGTGGGGTTGGTTGTATATACATATACAGCCTAAAATATACATATATCGCCATCTAAATATGCATATATAGCAAATGTCATATGCATAGACATCTAATTATTATTATTAAACAAACAGTCATTTTGGTGAGTTACATACACGGCCAATGCCATATGTATGTACAGCCAATCACTGAATTGTCACATAAAGACAAGAGAAAGTGAAGCACATACAAAAGTCAATATTTTATGAATATATATAGCCAAATTAATATACATATGCGGCCAATCAAGTAATGTTCATACACAGCCAATCAATTTTCCCTCTAATTTTTTGTAGTATATGTGCGCAGCACATTTTTGGAAATGACTAATATTTGTGCAAAATGCAATGAAGAAATTTTGGCGTTCTAACCGGGTAATAAGTGGGCTTATTAAGAAAATTTTGGTTATTCAATAAGTTTTTCTATAGATTGTAAATGCTTTAGTGAAGGCTATATGTTATCAGTAGATAACAATGAACATACATGGAATATAATAAATAAAATTGATTGTAACAGATGGTTTCATTTGAATTCAAATAAAGGGTGAAAAAAGAATGAAAGAAAACGAAACAATTGGAGCAATGTTTTTCAGAAAGAAACGTTAGCTCTATCACGTGTCAGGGGACGATATGCTAGTATAAAGAGTCGAGGACCTATGTTTTACAGTATTTCTTTACTTCCATTGACCAACTTCCTCACGTCTATCCTTCTTGCTGACCAATTCTTCATAAACCTTCACCTTGTCTATAACACATCCAGCTCGCTGATAAGACTTGACCCTCATTATCATGTCCAAATGCCTTTCTCCCAGTCTGTTCCTTAGCTTGGTTTTGATGGAATTCATCAAACTAAACCCGCGCTCACATTCAACGCTGGATGCAAGAGAAGTACCACCTATATCTACAAGCTTTGCCAATTCTCTAAAGTTTCTAAACTGTTCATGCTGAAACGTAAAGTTTATCAAATCAGCAAAAGTGCTAACAACTCCAGCCATAATTTTTTTAGCTATTGCGTATTTAAAATCTGTGTATTGATTTATAATTATACTTCGTTCTGGCAAAATAAACTCATATTTAGAACACAGAGCTTTAATTTCGGTGATACCAAAAGCATAGCAAGGGGATTTCAATGCAGCACAATCAAAAGCTACCTAGTCTTGCACTTCTCGTTCTGGGAATCTTTCTATCATATGATCACATAAAAGCCCTATAAAATCCAGCAGTCCTTCAGAGTCAAAAGTGTGAAACAGATTTTGTTTCTACCTTTTTGCAAACTAGATACCGCCAATTGTTATGTCATCATCGCAGTCTAAGCTCGTGTTTATCATAGCAATTCGAATATAGCTGTATCTCAATTATACGTACCGGTATTGCATAGGGCAGTAATTTAGTAATCAAACATTTAAGAAAGGTCAAAGATGTCAAATAATAAACATAAACGAGACCAGGGATACTCAACCGGTGAACCGCGGTCCGTATCCTGACCTTGCTGGTATTCAATTTGGGCTGCTGCTCCATGACTTGGAATCAGTATGTTCCCCAGCTTTTCTCTTTAGGGTGGGTGTTTCAAAATTTAGGGGGTGGTAAATAATTTGCTATCAGAGATAAAACTAGGCTATTTGTATTCTTAAAAAAATGGTATGTATTTAAGAGACGATGTACATGGGAGCCCCCCCAAGTTGATTGACGGCGAGTCAAAATCCACAGCAGAATGAAATTGCAGGGCCAGAAAAGGGGAGCGAAGAAAAGTGCGGGACGACACGGCTGGGGTTCAGGGCGCGCTTAAGCGCCCTGAGAAAAATTTGAGAAATAGGCACCAAAATAGGCTCTAAGCTTGATTTTAGATACACCTAGCATCGCAGTTTGTTATGTAATAAAATCAATAATTATAATATTTAGCTGATAGAATTCCCGGGGAATAGATAACAAGCACGGCTTTCAACCGTAAATATATACTACTACGTTTCAACAAGTAATTTGCAAATGATAGTGACTAATGAAGTTACTTGCTCATCTGTCATTGTATGAATGGCTACTTATGGCTAGTTTTGTTACACATTTCTAATTTTTTTGAACATGTTTGTTTGACTTTTGTATGAATTAAATTTTGAAATACGCTCGTCAACTGATCATAATGTTGTATTCCTTCAGAACTGAAATATTTTGTTGGTAAGAAGACAAATCGCTGAAGTTTGATTCTTTTCAATAAAGAAATAAAAACGCTGTCATTCATCTAAAAAACGTCTGTTTTCAGTGCCTAGTTTTCGTTTTGTGACATCTTTAAGCTTTCTTAATATACGGCTGATATCTAAAATACTGCAGTGTGTAATCATTATACCCATACCTATACATAAGATACCGGAATAATTCAATTGTTACGAAATAAACGTGCTTAAACTGTGATAATGATGTAACAATAGACGGTATCTAAAACTCAAAAGGTACCACATGAAGGGTTAAACTATTTCACTCAAGTTCGGCGGGCCATTTTAAATGGTCACGCGGGCCGTAATTGGCCCGCAGACTGCGGTTTAGAACCCCTCAGTGTGGAATCGCACCTCAAAATTAGGGGGGGTGTTTGAAATTTTAGGGGGGGTGTTCACCCCCTATAGGGGGGGTGTAGGGAAATCACTGCTTGGAATGCGTCGTTACTTTTTATTTCACAATCGTGATGTATTGCATTTTCGCTAAACAACGAGAAAAAAATACACTTTTCAAAGATTTTTAGACAAGTTGGTACACATTAGACTGTGTTTTGGCTTTGCATTCATTTGTCAGTTTCTAGTTGTATTTTTGAAATTTAAAATTAGAACAAATAACCCGATTTTGCAAAATAGTATACTCTCACTTCTCAGAGCCAAGATTGCAATGTAATTTTCCAGACTAACGATTGACGGATAACTTTGCTATTGGACACGAAGTTGATTAATGAAACGTCATGTTAAAATTCTCGTGAACGTTGTGGCTTACCTTAATATTATTTGAGAAAATTAATTCTAAATTTTTAGTCATGAAAATATTATAAGTCGCCGGAAGACCTATAAATATATATAATATATATATTCACGAGTGCTATGGGGTATTGTAATCTTTCCAGCAAGTCGGCGCTAAGTTACACAACTGAAAAATTGTCATACCGGTAGTCGAGTAGCCCTGAACTAGACTATGACTTAGACTTCAGCAATTTGTCCTCTTTGCCAGCGAACTATTCTAGTTCTGAAGGAATACGACATTGAACGTCATTACGAGTCAAACACACAAGTTTCAAAAATGTGTCCAATGTGAATCCACTAAATCCCAGCTAAACCGCCGCGCACTTTCGGCACTATACTCTTTCGGCCCGCAAACATCCTTTCGATTCTAATTTTGGCCCGCGGCCAATAAAGTTTGGGAACCCCTGCTTTAGAGGGAACACTGCGGCCCATGCAATATGATCATATGGACTACGCAATATACCTATACAGCCACTCAAGGAATGTACACAATCATCAATGCCATAAAGAAGGCATTCAAGAAATGTCATATCATATGTATATACTATAAATTTAATATACATATGAAGCCATTCATGTAATGTACATACACCGTCAATCCATATCATATTCATACACCTACTGTTTTTTTATGTACCGTTGCGGTTGCATATACAAGTCGCAGCTTGGAAATCATATGAATGTCATATGAACTCTCAGAAACTCCAAGAGGCTTTTGATGGAAGTTTTTATCAATAAGTGTAAAGTACCATAATTTCTCCGTGTATAATACGCACTTTGGAGGTCAAATTTAGACTCCCAAACAAGGAGGTGCGTATTAATCGTTGGTCTAAAAACTATCCAAATTTAGTCTTATGCTCAACTGGCTATTAATTGTCACATTTATTAATCTTAAGTTGGAAAGTCATCTCTTGCACTTATGCTATATTCATAATGGATAGTTTGACTCCGCCTTTCGGTGAGTTGCGACGTCCCCACAAACGGACATCAGCCGTACAGAGCGACGCAAGATATGAGTAGAATTGGTTTTAGGAAGTGGAAACTAAAATGTCGCCATCTCAGTCTTTTCTTATTCTTTACAGGACAAACGACTGTCTGGCATATTGTAGCTCTCGGTCCATGGCCCAATTGAAAATATATTCTAGATTCGGAATTTTTTTAAAGGTTATTCAAAAGAGTAAATTATTTGCTTTTGGTCGAAATTTGACATTTTACTTAATATAAATGAGAATTTTGTCGTTTTGTTGAACATATCGATCATTCAGTAATTGAAAAACTATATATACTTCCGTTTTTTGATCAAAACCCGTGTGCGGTGTTTATGGACTTTTTAAGTTAAAGAACTGTTATTATCTAGAATGGATGTTATAGTTTCAATTGGGCATAAACCGAAAGTGAAACAATAAATTTATATTAAATTTAATCAAAAGGATCTATAATATTCATTTAGTAATTCTATGAAGACTCGATAAGACATATTTCCAAAATAGTTGTATGTTCATAATGCGAAAAATTTTGATCATAAGAATCAATAATATTTATATAGTTGGCTGATTCTATAAAGACTTTTCAGATACGCATGTCTCCAATAGTTGTATGTTGTCAAGAAAGAAGATTTGAAATATTTCAGTTGAACATTGATTTCCAAATTAATAATTCTCTAAAAAAGTCCCACATGTCCTTAGGTGGTGATACTGACTCGTTGCTAGTTTTTAACAGCATATTTCGTTGAATGCAGAAGAATGCCCCATTGTGTCTCAGGGTGTGTTTGAATCCACCCCACCAACGCAATGAGACTGAAGAGAGATTTTCATCCAGCACATTTTTCGTGATTTCGACTCTATTGTGGTGTATTATGATATCATAGATTTGGCGCCTATTGGATATTTCTGGAAAACTAAGTTGGCGCCTATTGGATATTTATTAAGAACTACCCGCACTGGTAGTTTTATGTATTAAATCTTCCACCAAGCGTTAATTTGATTAGTCTGTGGACAGTTTATTGCCATTAGCCAAAGAATAGTTCACTGAAGAGAGATTTTCAGTCCGCAAATTTTTTGTGTAGTCAACGTAGTTTTGTGTCTTTTTGTTACAATCAATATGTACGTACCCCTGTATGCTAATACCTTTTGGATCACTAGCCGCTTTGAAGTTTAACGCTTTTTAATGCGCTAATTATATGAACGACAAGTAATGTGCATACAATTCGTAGATGCAACCGCATATACATAAATTTTATTTTTACAAAATGATCTGGCAGTATTTTTACATCACCTTAATGGCTGTATTTGGATATTGATCCGGCTATATATGCATATGACTTGGTAGTGTATGTATATTTGGTAGGCTGTATATGTCTATTTGGTTGGCTGTATATGAATATGAGTTGGCTGTATATACATATTCTTGGAAGTATATGTATGGCACGTGACCAACCCTATCGATGCTGTATGACGTAGTGACGCGCGAAAAGTGGTAATATTTGAGTTGTTATCACTATACGCAGGTATTAACGTCACTACAGTCAGGAGTCTTTGAATTTGAAGGCATTCCAATTAATGTGAATTTAGTATGTACATAGTGAAATTTACAACAATAAGTCAACGTAATGCGTGTCCTGGCAAAGGATTAAATCTATTCGTAAATGCGATTACAAACTTGTTTTATTAATCGAGAAACATCGTGTTCAAAGAATTACCAAATAGATATAATTACTGTTTATTTTCTTGACAATTGAAAACCTTGCGTTCCAGATAAATTATCTTATCGCAAAAGCGAGGTGCGAGATTTACAGCCACGTCAAAAGCAATTGTAAATGTCTGGCGTCATATTTGCGTTATCGTTGTCTTGCGCCTTTGGAGAATAAAAATCAGGTGAATCAATAGGAAGATCACAGTTGATTGTTTGTTACATAATTGCATATTACCTTCTACTGGTTTTCCAATATCTGCAAAAATGTTGTCATTACAGAAGACTAAAGCGACCAAACCTCGCCATATTCCGAATCATCCTGGATACAAAGAAATGATCATCACTGCAATCAAATCACAAGAACAAAAGAAAGGATCTTCTCGAGTATTTATTCGTAAATATATCGAAGATAATTTTGATGTCAAGCAACAAGGTTTTACCACACATTTGAATAGAAATTTAAAGAAATTAGTTGAATCAGAATTTCTGTTTCATCCAAAAACTTCACCTGGATGTTACAAAATCAACAAAACTGAAATTGCTAAAGAAGAAAAGGATGCCAGGGCAAAAGCCAAAGCTGCAATCAAGAAGCAGCAGGCCAAAGAAAAACTTGGAAAACAAAAATCGAAACAAGTTCAAAAAAAACGAGTAACAAAGGAAATTGCTAAGAAGAAAACCGACGCTACAAAAAAGGCAAGTGCAAAAAAGACAATAAAAACAGTAAAATCAAAAGTGGTAAGCAAACCCAAAAAGTCTGACAATGACTCCAAGAAAACTACGACAAAATCAATTACCAAGAAGAAAGTTGGAACTCCAAAGAAGACTCAGAAAAAGACAGCTAAAAAATCGACTAAGTAGAAAGATTCGCATTATGAAAAATCTTTTTTTATGCATTACCATCGTTTTATTTTTATACGTGACTAATACAACTGATCAATCTACAAGTCAGTGTGAACTCCGGAAGACTTTCGCTACATTGTGGATGAGTATAGCACTTTCAAAATAAATCACGAAAAAATTGAGTTTGCGGCTTTTGACGGAAAATCTGTCATTAGTTTTGCCATAATACCAAGTGATCATTTAAGCATAATTAGTGATCAAAATTTAACCACGTGGTTCAGCTTGAACGTCATACGAAACGTGTCAACTATCTCCGTGCAAACTCTCAATTATTTCACAGTTACCATTTCACGAACCACAAATGTAAATTTCGTCGCTTCAACTATATCTTTTGTTACACAAATATCGAAAGGTTTTAGTTATTGGGTTTTATTACTGAGAGCACAAACTAAATGCAGTTGGTCTCGAGAAGAAGGGAAATAACAGACACTGAATAAATAAGTCAATTATATTCACATATCACGCAAAATAAGCTTTAATTATCAACCCCGTTATAATGTGGAGAAATTAAATATCACAACTATTCAAAAATCATGCTCTTTCTCCGCGGATTCTAAAATGTTTTGAAGGGCGGTGCGCAAATAAATTTAGATTCAAACTGGCCCGCTGATTGCCGACGCCCGGTTTAAAATAATCGATCGGTACAATACTTTCTGGAATCGGCTTCTAACCCGTATACTTATCAACGACGTGTGTATTATCCGATAAAAACTCGGCCCGAGATAGCAATGCAGTTCTAACATTTCTATATCGGAAATAACAAAAATATTTTGAATCATCCCCGAAAAATTCCAAATTGCAGAATTATATTACCCATGACGAATTTTTCTGACGTATTACCTCGGTACTTTTTACAAATCTTTCGCGATTTTTATAATACGATTCTGCGAAGTTGGAATCATCCAGATTGAACATTGTACTCGATATCGAATAGTTCAACCAATTGATGATCATTGATTGTTAAATGCTTGTTTCTATTCAGAATATCCTTATTAGGTGATAATATCAGGAGTAAATTTAGCTGTAAAACCGTCTTTCATTAGACATGAAAACTGCCCAAGATAAGTACAAGGTTCATGAGTACATGATTGTATTCATTTTAACATTTCTTCGATTACGTGCGTAATAAATCACTACAGAATCTGGAGTGTCTCAAAAATGTTGTGTGCCACTTGTCCCTTGGGGCACGTGGAACAAGTGGGACACGTGTGACATGTGGGACAAGTGGGAAACATAAAACAAGTGTGACAAGTGGGACACGACATTTTCGAGACACCGTTATGCATGTATGACGTGGAAAGAAAATGTACTGTTGAATCAGTCAATTAAATGATGCTTGAAGATGCTAGATTCTCAGAAAGCGAGCAAAATAACATTCTATCTACAGCTTTTGATTGCTTGATGTCATTTTGTGAGCCAACGACCTGAAATGATAATGCGCAAACCAAGTTTTGTCGTTTTGTAATATACAAACTGAATGAAGAGACGAAATGGTTTATACAACATTACAAGATGGCTTTTATGAAAGTGGCAGTGCTTGTACAAGCCGATACAAACGCGAAACCATAAGTCCAAAAGAGCAGCTTCATATTTACCTTAATAATGAAACATTTATGCCTAAAATTTCAGGATTTTCGAAATTGTGTTGCAAGAAAAAGTTCGAATAATTACGACTTGATTAAATTTATGCGTTGTTCAAAAAAACTATTGATCTCACTGCAGACTTCATCATGGTTAATTATAGCGACAACAACATTCTTTAACTTCCGCAAATTATTTCAAAGCAGTTAACCCAGTAGTTCACGAGAAAGGCGATTTGCGACGACTGCATTGTATAAATTTCGAAACGCCAGTGTCGTAGTTTTGTACGCTTATGTACATTTTTTAAAATCACCTCGCAGTCCGAGTAAAATACGTTCCACAATGCTGCAACTGGCCTGCAATCGAACGTTAGATCGTGATATGACAGCACTTGTTTCATAAACATTGTTTGTATCCGGTCGTCTATCTGGGAGAACTTGCGGAGAAGGGTGAGAGCAAAACGATGTTTACACCTGTAACGATTTCGAACTTCTGGCTCGTACTCGGATTCTAACTGCTGCAATACATAAAAATCATAATGCTTTCAGACTGTGCTCAATTTTTCTATTTTGTATCAGAAATCACCGATTAATTGGTTCCTTACCTTTCTGTTATATTTCCTTCCTTTTCTGATTGTTGAACTCTTTATTACTCCCCACCATGTGCATAAACTATTTTGTTTATTAAATTTGCAATGGATCCGTTGTTAATGTTATGTGTAAGTAGCACTCCCATTTGCACAATAAAGTAGTTGTAACGCGTTCCGTATAGGCACACAAAGTATTCACGGTACTCACAGACAATAAAATTCTGATCATTTTAATTAGATTAGAGCCTTGGGTGCAAGGGCGTGCCAAATTTTCAGCTGCCAAGGGCGAGTTTCTAATAATGATGGCCCATATACCCAATTTCAAAAATATTTCAGGGGATAAACAAATTATAGATGTTGTTATACATGAGAATGAATAAATCAAATGTCAAGTAAGACTGGAATGTTTGTATTGTTATTAATTGTATTATCAAACTACGTAGAATTACACTATTAATTATAATGCGATGATATCTTGTACGTAGTGATGAATCATCCTCACGGAATCTGAAAATAAAAATGAGCAAAATAAGATGGCATGTGAAATATAACTACGACTAGCTTTTGATGAAAGAACATTTATTTTTTGTTGAAGGGAAGAAACCAAAATGTATTGTTATGAGTATGATCATCGAGATGCATGGGTATGAAAACCCATCGCAAGATTTCGACTCATTTTTCTCATCCGGGCCCGGGAATATTGTTATTAAAATTCCGAGATTACGAGAAACAATACAATATTTAAGCGATATCATTTCGTCCATTTTATTTTTGATTATTTTTCCAATACACGATGCCAGCTTGGCCCATGAAGGTGTACCAGCGTCATATTCATTGAGTTTTCCATGTATGTGAATAATAATTGAATCAACTTCGATACGTGTCCTTTATGCGTTGACTGCCGAAATTAAAAAAGAAAAATTTGTGAACTTTCCTCAGCCATGTATAATTCCGAAAAATACCGATATCGTAAAAGCATAAGATTTACATATGATTATATTACATCAAAATAGAGCCCGACAAGCATACAGTGGCAATAATGGATTGATTTTTTTAGGCTGTAAGAGGTAACGCTTTGCAAAACCCTGACTTTACGCTATTTTCGTTTAATGATGGCTTGCGTCGAACAAGAAGTTCTCACAGTAGAAAGCTCATGCCCTATACCTGTAGAGTCGACATATTGAAATCGACTTCGGTTTCAAAGTGCAAAAAAAACATCAAGAGCAATAAAATCGAAAGTGACAAGCAAATCAAAAAAGTCTGACAACAACTCCAAGAAAACGACAAAGAAAACAATAACTAAGCAAAAAGTGAAAACTTCAAAGAAGACCCAGAAAACGACAACAAAAAAAACCGACCATGTAAATAGATTAGCATCCCGAGAAATCACTTCATTGTTTTAATTTTGAATGCATTATCATTGTTTTATTTTATGCATTACCAATAAAATTCATCAATCCACCAGTCAGTGTGAACACCGATTTTTGCTACATTGTGAATCAGTATACCCCTTTCAAAATCATGCTGGAACAGAAGAAAATTGAGGTTGCGTCTTTTGTCGAGAAATCTATCTTTAGTTTTGCCATAACACCACCCTATTATCAATCAAGATTCAACCAATTTCAGCTTACAACTATAATTTTACGCCAATTGGCGACACACATTATCTTTACATCCGCATACATTTGCAACCGCAAACTGTACCAAGGAAAATTGCACCCATACATTGGTACTCATATACATATTTCACCCACGTAAATTTGTACCCACGGACATTTGGGGCTATGTGAATCTGCACCCTCGGACATTTGCACCTACTTACATTTGAACCCATGGAATTTTGCACTCGCACGGGGGAATTTTTGTTTTACTTCAACAGTTTGTTGTACCGGGCTCTAGATGTCAAATAACACGATAAATCTCATATTTAACATCATACTATTTTAATGTTTTCTGGAAAAATCTCAACCACGACGCGAGACGCAAAAAATGCTTTTCGGGCCGCATGCGGCACGTGGGCCGCGTCTTGGAGACCCCTGCCCTAGGGCCTGGCCATAGGCTATGCTGTTGGTTGAGACCTTCTTATACAATGACATTAATGGCATTATTCCGGTAAAAACTGATCAATTAAATTATATTATCGTGTTTTGCTTTGGGTAAAGCGGTAAAATTTTTCAAATTTAAACTAATTTATTTATTCGACTATATATATATTTAATTTTTGAACCTTCTTAACGGTAAATATATATTTTGGAAAAAAATTATGAAACTAATGGAAATATTAAACAAATATACGTTTTTAAACCGGTTTTATTCTGGAACAAGCCGTTGAAATGTAAAAACGACTTAAAAATGAATAATAGTTCAAAACTGAATGTCGAGGCCCCTAGGTTTGAGGTTCCTCGGTTTCAATCTTTTGCCTAATGGTAAAACCGGATCTGTTGTTCGGCACGTTACCAACTCTATATCGCAAATACCCGCTACGGTGAAAAACCAAACTTCTTTTTAAAAATACAACAAACCTCCCACGGGAGTATGAAACGTGTTCAAGTTCATATAGAATTATTGCAAAGATTCCCCGAGCATCTTATGAAGTATATCTCGCTCTATAGCAAAAGAGAAGAAGCTGATAAAGCCACGTGCACGAAAAGTGGTGCACAGAGTGAAACAGAAGTACCTCCCTCATTTCAAATTTTTACTATGACAATGCTGTTACAGGTATTCATTTTTTATGTCCAATATAAGATGAAAATATTTAAGCCTAAATAACCACGTGGAAGAATTTTAAATGAGTTGTAATTTTTTCCGTATATACTTATATTTTTACAAGTTCGTTTGCGTGTCAAGCACTTGGAAAAAAGTCTTTTATCGGTAAAAATTTAGTTACTCAAATTTTTATCCATCGACGAGTTTGAAAACCGTTTAGTCCATTTTCATATTCTTTCTTTACATTTTCTGCTTCTCTCTGTGTCCTTGCAACATACCCGTGACTTCCATTGCGATCAACGTATATCGGATCTCCAATAGCAACAGCGGAGAAGAAGAAAATCACTGCATTTCTGTTTCTTGATCTATTTTCAAATCGTAATTGGTCTCCGTTCACGATATCAGCAGTATGGTATTCTTGTACTGTGACGCCGGATGCGTCGACTTCTCCTATCATAACGTACATAAAAGACGTCCACGTTCTTTGTACTGGCTGGATATGAGAGGCTCCCGGGTTTAATTCGATGTTAAGAATAACGCTTGGCGTTTCTGTTGTCACTTTTGACTGTAGATCGAAGGCTTTTCCGACTAAAAGTTTAATGGTGACACCATTCTTCTTTATTTTAGGAACATCCTTCGCTCTAGAAAATTGAAATTTAGCTTTTTCTGCCTTATTTTTCTTCGATAAATTAAGCCATAACGTAATACCATTTGCTACACCCACGGGAAACTCTGCATGAAGAATACCATTCCCGCATTTCATATTCTGAACGAAACCAGGCCCCAAGTACTCGTCGTTTCCGATGTTGTCAGAATGTTGAGTGGCGCCTTGATAGTTATAATTAATACTCTCAAATCCGTAATGGGGATGAAAATCCAAGCCAGAGGGAGAGACGAACACAAAGTGATCCATGCGGATGAAGGGATCTTTTTGCGGAAATTCTCTATCTATGGATCCATAAGCTTTTGACAATGTCTGTCCGTAGGTGATATTCGTCACACTTGCGTCGCCAATACCCTTTAGTCTATTCCACAGAGATATCATTACTAGCGAGTAGGCTTGCACGTAATTGACAAAAATCAATTCCGTAATTACGGCAAAATCAATTACGTAATGACCCCGTAATTGCGATGTTTTCCACGCATTTAAACCTATCATAACAACCAATTGAATCCACTTCTTTTCCGAATGGGCCATTGAAGTTGGGTTTTTATATTCTTGGCAGTACTACACGCCGGCGGCAGATGTTAAAGACAAATATCAAGGAGTGAATTCAAACTAATTTTATTCTGATTTTTATCTTTTGTGTTAGCTTTGGTTTTCCTTCATCACCTTCGCAAATTAACTGTCCCATTTTTATGCGATCATCTTTATCATTACCGACACTGGTATACGGATATTTATGGAAACGATAGTTTTTTAAAATCGACTTTCGTACTAGATAAAAATGACGGGTTTCTAATTTATTAACCACCGACGAGCTTATTCTCTCGTTTGATTAACCTTGCGATTTCCTCGCGACGAAGACTTGTTTTTGCAGCGTTTTATGCATTATCCGACATTACTGCCTTGTTAGCATTTTATAATAATAATAATTGATGTCGACTTATTGACGATATTCCGATTACCATGCTTCATTTTACATTTAATCATTTCGCGGACTGAATGTTTATAACATTATTCACGATAAATTTAAATCAAATATTATTTATTTGCGTATAATTTAAATACCGAACTTATACAAAGTTATATCGCAAAACAATGCATTTTGTGACATTTATTTTACACTCACGACATTTATTTGCTAACTCAAGTCGGCGATCCTATCGGCCAAGATTGACACAAGTTTGGTCGAGTGTCGGTGGTATTCAAGTCGACGATAAATCAAAATAAGTTGCCGCATTTGGTAAGACAGTTAATCATATATGGCCGAAATATTGCGAGGAATTGTGAAAAACATCATGAGCAAGGCCAAGTCCGGACTGATATATAACGATAAAACCGTTAACAGAACATCAAGATTTTGTAATAGAAAATGGATCTCGCACAGAATATACACACTGGCTCATATTTGATTATATATGATAGCAGTTAAATTTTTAGCGATCCGCGAGGAATCCGTCGTTTTGCTGTTTCTCTGCCGTCTCAATCGCTTTACCGATGCCGAGAAGACGAAGTTGCGCTGGTTCATTGCGCAATCTCTCTTTTGTCGTCATATTTCTATTTGATAAAAGCGACATTAATTATCACGGCGAGGTATTGGCGCGAGTGATCAATCGCTCTTTTCGCTTATTTGGTTCCAATTCGTCGCGAAAACTCTTCGTTAAATTTCACAAGATCGTCGTGTTGAAAGGTTATGGATATTTTCCTGTTATTCCCCAAGTCTGAAATAAAACAGCCAAAAACAGTATGATATTCCATGTTCATATATCAAGTGTTGATATTAACAATAAAGAATGGTTAAGCATTGCTAATCCAGACTTGGTGGGGAATTCCCACTATTTAAACGCGTGACTATAAATTAGAATAAAACAGAAACGGAACATATATACCATAAGTAACGGAAAACTGGAACAAGTAAATAATAAATAAAAGTAAAATGGATACAAATGTTTGATAGACCATGTTTGATAGATTCATCTCCTGCGTTCATTAGTCATTTCACCCGAAGAAGTTGAAACCGGGCTGTTAGCGTCCATCGGTCTTAACACAATTCTTCCCCCTATCTACGGTTATTATGTACATTGGCCATGGCCATGCTAGATAAGATGCGAGAGAAGTTGAAACCAGGTGTGTTGGCGTCAATCGGTCTCAACGCAATGCTATCCCTTATCTACGGTTAAGTTGCGGGAGAAGTTGAAACCAGGTGTGTTGGCGTCAAACGGCCCTACTCTGTTCTTCCCCCTTAACTACGTTAATAATAAACATTGGCCATGCCAGATAAGTTGATAATAGGTTAGTAAATGGCAACGCGTCATGCCTTCCTTCACCTACATAACAAGAGAGAGAAAAGGGAGAAAAACGGCTGCGAATACCGAAACTCTAACTTCTTCTACTTGTTGAGCTTTCATTTTTCGCAATCGACGAAATTGACTGCTTTGAAGAAAGCTCGTTTCAATGCAATTATTACGACTTTACGTAATTCGTAACTTCCCTTCCGTAACTCCAAATAATTACGTAATTCCGTAAATCCGTAAATTACGTGCAAGCCTACTAGCGAGTAACCTTTATATCGTGTTTTTCGAAATCCACTGTTTATTATGAGTTGTGATTACACCCACAAACTAAAAAGAGATCGAAGTTTTTAACTTTGAATTTTGTATTTTGTGTATTTCATACAAGCAGCAGGCAATAAAACGCTAGATTTCATCATGGCTGACATATATTTACCGGTTACGGTTGTTTTGCCTTGCAGACATAACCTAAAACTTGCACAGACGCCAATCAATGTTGTGTATGATGTAATATATACAAAGTCAGTAGAATTTATTCCTAACCTTCTACAGGTCTACACCGTCCAGTAATAAAAGGAATTTTCTTATATTTTTGAAATAAATGGAACAAGAGATAAACGAGAATATCGGTCAGAGACCGAAGACTTATCGATCGAAAGTTAGGGAGTCCCCCAAAACGGCGCTCTTACTCCATAGTGACACCTTGTGTCCAATCACTAATTAATTAGTAACTCGCTAATTATACGACATAATTCGCCCAAAATCAATAGACTTCTGGTCCGAGATATGATGAATGCACATGCAAAATCTGGAGCAGATTCAATCTCGTGAGATATTGCGTGCATCTAATTCTAACAGACAGACAGACAGACAGACAGACAATAATACAGACAGACAAACAAATACCTATCAACATACTTACCGATCTTAAGATCGATAAGTAATAATAACGTTTATTCGTGCAGCATAGTGTAATATTTTGGCAATGACTATAGAGCTCGAATAAACATCACGCCACACAAATCATTTTGAAGTAATCAACTGTCAATTATGCTCTAATAATTTGATGTTTCGTAATAATTTATTTTTGCGTAAAATTTGAAAGCATTATTCGCGCGAGGGTGATTTTTATACGGTATAATTTCGTTTTGGAACAACTGGACAGTAAAGGAAACAGAAAGCGACATAATTGTCTAATGGCCAAGTATGACACATGTTGTGGATTATCGTTGGGAATGTCTGATTTAGTATAATAGTATACGAATGGGTGCACGCACATAGCTTGCGCTGTTAAAATACTATATCACGTGGCGGTTTTATGCAAATAAACATCACATATAGCTCTTGCCCTAAAATCGAATGCCTTATGTTAACTGGCCCAGATGTCAAATGCATGGTCCGCAATGTCTTGACTGAAATATTCGCCCGAGCCACCATATTATGCATTTTTAAAAATAGCTAGAATATTTGATGGAAGATCCAAGGAGTAAAATACACAACCTCTGCATATACCAATTGCATTGGAGATAAAATTGATAATTCTATTCCATTGCTTTGAACCATATAACGCAGATTTTTAAATTCATCCACTAATGTGTTTGTACACATAGTACAAGAATTGCTAAATCTGATATAGCGAATTCAGTACCAAACTGCATTAATTAAATAAATATTTTATTGCGCGGTACGAATGCGTTTCGTTTTAGCGTCGGTCCATTCATCTCGGGGTAAACCTTTTTACAAGCGGACAACGTTAAAACTTTTTATTTCCTAAAAAATATTTTATGCAACTGGCGAATTAATGCTAAATCTATACAAATAAATAAATATATGTTCAAAGGATAAGCGATATCAGGTCACCTTAGCTTATATATATTACAATAATAGAAACTTAGTCGAAGTTATGCTTTTAAAATATATTTATAATAAAACACTGTTTATATTACTGAGCGACTTGCGATTATGTCCTGCTACTGTATAGAGATTCAACTTCAAGGTAGAACCCAATGAAGCCTAAATAAATAAAAACAACTTTCATGCAATAACATATATACGCGCTCATCTTGCGTTTTTCTATTGATCGTTATTCTATCGAGCGTCTGCACTCTAGAATCTTTGGTGTTATTGAGAAAATTTGGACCACCTTGTAATTGAAACATATAACACCCGATAATGTTGGTAAAATTGGAGCTAAAATTATTGCCAAGGTATTCACCGTTTTTTTTGCTTATAACAATTATAAAATTCCGGGAGTTTTTATGTGCACCCACTGCATATCTGCTGCAATGCCCAAAAGAATACGTCACCAAATTACATCTTACCATACATTCCGAGTGAATTAAAAACAACTTTGTTTTGACATGCTTGACACTTTTGGCATGCGTGCTTCTATTTCGTTCTGCTATCGATCGGTAGGACAGCTCGATAGGGTTGGTAACGTGACATACGTATTTTGCCAAGAATATGCATATTTCTGGCTGTATATGTATATCACGTTACCAACCCCACTCGGACAGCTTGCATTATGACCGTTTATGAAATGCATATATCATCCGAATATTTATTGTTTGCTATTTCATCGGCCATAATTTCTGCAATACAGATCGAGATTTGAAAGCAAAATTTGTAATAACCGGTGAATGTAAAATAGAAAGCGCGGATCCATATATTGCTACATTTCATTTTGCGCCTTTACAGAAACTTATAGCAGCCGCGTTCCAGCTACTTGTTAAACATCCCACATCCTTTTGATCCATCGAAGCTCAAGATAGGTTACCAAACAGTACCTGCGAGTGACCCAGCACAGCCACGTCCGACTCAAATGCTTGTATGGCCGCGTATTATGTTTTAGTTTGGTCGCGGGACGCATATTAAACACTTGTCTCACACCATGAATTACAGTTTTATTTTCGTGAAATATGACAAATGTGAAAAAGGAATAACGGTTTCGTCAGTATTTAGTTATAGACAGCATAGAAGTTTATTCCGGATAATGAGAAACCTGTTTTTGAATGTCATTTCCCATCGTTTAATATGGATTGGCATCTTTGATGTCGCGCAAGGTTATTCTCTAGCCTTATTTTCGTTCTTGTGCCTTTTCCGAGTCTTCGATTTACAATTTTCATTTTTGAGATGAAAGATTTGCTCAAATAGCTTGTCCCTATCGACGTCGCAACATCTATTGCCATTTGGTAGAAGATGAATATTGTATATATATATATATTCTCTATCTCTCAGGAACGACTAACTCAAATACATAGTTGCCTGGAAACCAATGAGTTCGAGCTGTATGTATTACGCTATACCTCCGTAATGATTCCCAAAATGAGGGAACCTGTTGTGACAGCGAGTGTTCAAAAGAGAACCGTTCTTAAAATTTTGAATTAAATCACTGGGTCACCCTCTCTCTTACTGGCAGCCGCTAAGGTCGTTTTAGTTGCTCTACTTCAACGGTTCTATCCGTGATTACTGCTAGGTAAGTTATTTACTTATGCAGCACAATATCCAACCTGATGCGCCGCTTTGCAACACTCGCAGTCTTCTAAGGGTTTGTTATCTCGTCGACCTTAATATTGAAACCCCACTACTGATAGTGACGAAAAATGCTCATTCTAAGTCCACAGTTTGGTTTATTTCGTGTTTCGATGTAGTTTATAATATTTATTTTCACCATTTGCGCGATATTTTAGTTTGGTCCTGAAAACAATATAGATTGCCCAGGCCAATGTATGTCTGCAGTTTATTACTTTTTTGTTTAAATTTTCGAATGTGTTATCGGAATGTATTATCACAATGCTCACAATCTTAATTCCGGATAAAAGTGTTTCTTATCGTGTTCGTTTTTACACTTATATTATATGTATCAAGATGAGTTGGCACATGTCCCTGTCCCACCTTTCAATAAATATGCAAATGGTTGTAGAGAGAGTTTACAAATTGATTACCAAACTAAAACTACAACAAAGCAGTATACCAAAAGACCTACTCTTGTGTATACTGTCAGGAATCACGCGATCAAATTTCGTATCATATATGGCAAAACGCTTGTATGAGAACGAGCTTTTGTTAAAACAAGTAAGGAAATGGACTGTACATCGATCTTGTTTCGCAAAACATTCAGCTCATGCTGTTGCATTCGGTGGTACAAAATATTGAAATCTGCACTAACCATTCATAATAAAATTAGAGGATATATACTACAGCTCTCTTTTCTGTTTTAATAGATATTTTTCATTGTTAAACTTAAACAGCAGCAAAACATATCTTGTCGAGACTCCGGACTTTGTCCCTTCCGACTATATTAACCTTTATCAAAGAGAAACACCTTGAGGTTTGTTTATCGGTACTCGTTTGATAAGATAGACAATGGACACCAATGCGTGAAGATTATTCGATCGATGTCATTATTTCTAGTCCGCCATGATGCGGATGTGTTTGGATCAGAAGTACGGGCCAGGTATCTCAGGTCCGTTAAGTAGGTAAAAACCTAACAAATCAGCCGATATGGATTCTCGTTTGTTGTCCACGGACAGTTCTCCATCCGAATACCAATTCCTCGCATACTCTTACTGAAATGTAGGAACAGGTGCTTACTAGGGCTGAGAATGGTCAACCAATTTTTAGATGTTTGACGATCACGATTTATTTAGACCTCAAATTGACATTACAGGTAGCCTACACGTCACCTCTATACTGAACGATTTCTAAAACATAATCAGTTCACCGCAAATTTATCTCCCGTAGCATTCAATTTAAAATAATGTCACTAACTGTACTAGTAAGCACCACAAAATGTAAAAAAAAAGACTTGCATTGCCAATTATGAAAGTTTGACTTGATATACGTTTAGAACTAGTTTCTAATCAGAATATATTATTCACGATTGTGTTGCAAGAGTGTCTATTTAGTGTCATTCAACAAGTTTTACTAAAACTTTACTAAAATACACTAGCAATCATGAAATCATACCACGAACATAAGATTACGAGAATTTGCCTTGTAACCAATAGGGCCAACAAACTCAAATTATTGAGAACAGTGTTCATTGAGAACTGTGGCACAACTTAACGAGACAACTGAAGCAGTGATATCAAATAAAACATCTGTAAGCTAACGCGACTGATGAGCCACACAGATAGATGAGATGCGGCGGGCCGCAACAACTAAGAGTTGTCGCGCTACTCGTAATTCGAGTAATCACATTAGGTCAGTCGATGCTTAAAGTGTTTTCCATGAATTTCCAAGACCTAGTACTGACACGCTGCTTCGTTTCATTATCCGATCAGGCGTATTGGGTGACGGAAATTTATTGACTTAGTGCAGAATGAAATTCAACGCTTGCACATTATGAGATGGGATAAACGAAATGCTGCTTCACAATAGCAATACCTGTGCAAACAAGATTCTTGTGTTGAAGGTGAAAGGCATTTTGGACGTCCTGAACTCAGGTTGTGTACAAGGTTCAGGTTGTGCGACATCTTGGTGCGCATACTTCAGGAGTACCGGTATTTTACATTCGCAATGATCTGCTAAGACAATATCTATAAAATGTATTACTTCCCCCAAATGATGTCTCATTTATCAATCAATATCTTAAAGAAGGACAAAAAACTTAAACTTGCACAAGAAAGCAGCGGAAACCGCTTCTATTTATTTATCGATAAATGAATACTGTTACCATTATGACACCATGAAATACAAAGTCACTGGGTGGCGCAACGGTATAGTGAAATTAGACTGTACAATGTATTAACAACTCAATATCGTCACTATAAAATGACTGTTTAATATTAATGTACATCATGCAAGACGCATTCGACAGTTTGTTGTCATACTTAAAATGAAATGCTTGTTTTCAAACCGATCATTGAATGTACAACACGACCAATACCAATAACAGTTGATGGAATTTTAATTGGCCGATCAAAGGAATTTATCAATATATCTGCGTTCTATAGGCCGTTTGTGTGCAATAAATTCGTCTTCCTCTTGAATCGAAAAATTCTGCGTGGCAACCTCCGCAACTACTGACTCTGCATTCGGCGTATGGATAGTTGTAGCAAGTCACTCCGAGACAAGGATTTGTACTACAGTAACCGTATCCTGGTAATCCACGTGGACATGAGCCTGTTACCAAAAAAATAGATTTTTGAACATAATGGGATTTGGAATCTATCAATCAAAACAACACTTAAAATACCATTGGATTGATAAACAGGGGGTCATGACTCATGAGTGCTAAAAGTAGCCGGGAGGGGACCTCGAGCTAAAAAGGTTGGGAACCACTGTTCTGGAGGATACCGAAATTGCAGAGAGTGGATTCGTGATCGTGACGGCTCGCTTTGAATATAATTAAAAAAGCACACATTTACAAATGAGTAATTTGTTACGGACACATCCACCATGATATGAGATATCAGCTGTTGTGGAGTATTATGACTTTATAAGATGGCTGTCACTGTAAGTATTCATGAGAATCTTAGATATAGAATTATGCAGGAATTGTATCAATGTATTAAATCTACTTTTAACACTTATGATATGTCATTTTCCATATTTTAATCAATAACCATTTTGAAAAATATACTGTAAGCTAAAAATCACGACTTATCTCTTTAGCGAACTTGGATACACACTACAAAAATAATTACGCTTTTCAAAGCAAACAAAATCTAAAGTGTGTAATGTAAGTTCGTTCCTTTTCCTTGGTTTGAAGAACAATGTTCTTTCGACAATGAGATGCTATGAATAATAGAATGAATTACCTTTAACACTGTATCTATATTTTAACTCCTTGGCAGCATTTTAAAAACAACATGACTTACAAGTTGAGGTTACATCGTGATTTCTCGAATTAAAGAAGCGGGGTAAGCATCCATTACAGTATCCTCTGCATTGGGTAAGAAGATTGCCCGGACAACTTGCTCTTGAACATGGAATGCATATTTGCGGACAACTACTTTGAGGGCGGAATAAGTTTGAGATAAGTATAATTTTGAGCAGATCTGTAACATAACAGAATCATGTTTTTATTTATGTTGAATAAAATAACTTTTACCAATTGTTTTCAATAGGAGAGGAAATTTGTAAAAATTTAAATTTATGACCTATAGTTATCGATGACTTGGATTTAATAACGTAAGGGTGGTGAAAATAGGAATATTTGATTTAGGTAAATTCTGAGTAAAATATTGTATATTTCGAGTGACAAAGCTTGCTATAATTACAATTTTTGATTTGAAATAATCTAGTTCTAAAAACCTGATAGGCCTTTCTTCGGAGCATCCTTACAAACTGTTCCACATCCATTTGAGCAGCATATTTCCTTTTTCTCACAGTCATCATTTGATTGGCATTCTTCGATACAGATTCCTGCATCGTCGTCAACTTCTGGGCACTCTGGGTCTAGAATTGGACCTGAAATGGGGCATATATATGGTAAAAAGATTAATGAATATGACAAAATTCTGAACATAATTCTGTTTGAATACACAACACACATATTGTTTAGACTGGCGTTTCCCAAACTGTGATCCGCGGAACACTAGTGTTCCGTGGCCGTCTTTGAAGTGTTCCGTAGAAAAGTCTAAAATGATCGTGATGGCGATCTATGGAACGTGAAGTAGTCGCCCAACTGATCGTTCGATATCGCGTTACCGTCGGCCTAACTAAGGTGGAGTAGTGCCATTTTCGTTAATCGTATGCCTATAGCTATTTGACTGTTTATGTTCATTATTAAGTTTACGGCAATCCTTTTGTCATATGTCATGTCATAGCCAAAAAGTAGGTCTAAACTCTAAAGAGTAAAGGCAAAAGGTCAAATCTTCTTCCTCCATCTCTGCCGGGTTTTACTTTGAAAAGCTGAAAAAATTACAGAGCAGCAGGTCTGCTGCTCGCGAAATTTGTAGTACTTCTATCTTAATTAGACGTAACATTAGAGGCAAACACTAAGTAATGGAAAGTAAACGACATAGAATGATAAAATGTATGAATTGATTAATATACACAGCGTTTAAATTAAGAAACAATAAAACATTTATAATAAATGCAATATGTAAAATATTCAATCAAATTTTAGGTATGTTTAACACAATTCTGTTAGTTTTCGCGACGCATTTGGCAACTCGCCACGGCGAACGCATTAGGAACCGCTACATTACACAATTTATCTTTATCAATTTTACCCTTTCATTTTTTGGTGTTCCCCGAGGCGAGATAAAAAGTGTTCCGAGGGTGAAAAAATTTGGGAAACGCTGGTTTAGACTTTAGATATATATATAATTCATGCCACGGCGATAGTCTGCGAAATATCTTTGAGTCACATTTTTACATTCCATAGTTGCCTTAATTTTTAACGATGGCGACATGTTAAATGGTTCTTTGTAACATCGCCATTTCCAATTTTACATTGATACATTCAATAGATTGTGATATAGAAGTTTTTTATTATCTTTTTGTTTTTGTTTCACAATTTAAAGCTTATTATCAGTCGTCATTTCTGTGAGAAAGTGTTTGTTTTCAATAGTTACAAGTTGTTTTCATTGATGTTCGAATGGGCAGTTTAAGGTACAACATCGGTTGTAAATTCTATCAGTATTGAAGCATGATATAGTTACCTTCGCAATTCTCAATTTTTTTTCCAAGTTTGTCAAAGAAGTCAGTGCTACATTCTCCACATATATTTTTTCTACATTCTGCATCCGGAAAGTTGGGACAAGTTTTACCGTCACAAGAACACATTTCAGTAGATATGGGAAAAGGACATTCACCTAAAACAAATGAAAATACTGTATAATACTTACATTATCAAATTGTTCTAGAGTTGGTTGACTTCAATATGCATTGACAATTTAAAAAGTAGATCTTGTTCCGCATAAAGTAAATGAACTAAATTCGGGGACTTGGGTGATTTTCTGATAGCCTCTTAGCCTCCTAACTTGATTTGAAAAGGACTTGGTATTTCAGTCTAGTGGATATGAACGATAGCAAATTTGAACTTTAAGTGCTTATTACATTTTCTAGCAACAGTCGACTTTCAATTTGGACTTTCTCCCGAATTTGAAATAAGCCAGGAGAAACCGTGCTTTGGTACTGCTTAAATTTTGTAACAAGATTGGGTAATATTCAGAAAAAAGTCAAGTACTGATAATTAATTGTAAAAAAGGATGTGTTCAATTTTTACTTAGAGCATGTGTTCTGTGTTTTTAGGCCACAACAGTTGAAGTAGTTAGCAAAACATAATACTCTTACATCCATCAGCAATTTCGTTATCAAACTTATCGAAGAAATTTGCAACGCATCCGTTGCAAGTACTCCGACATTCAGCTCCGGTGTGTGTCGCACAGGTGGTAACGTCACAAGCGTTAATGACGCAAAAAATAGGTATCCCTCCTGGACAATCTGATAAGATACAATATGAGAATAACTGTCTGCTCTATCGGCCATAGAAACTTAGATTGGTTCGACGGAGCATTGGATAATCCAAGAATAATCTATAGGAATAATGGAAATAAAATCTATATATATATTATTATATGGGAAGTAATGCATAAATCAAATCTGAAAGCAGCTATACCATGGCGACAGTACGCTTCGAAAATTCAAAATAAATGGATCTATAGATAGTTGACCTGTCTTGCTATATATATTGTAACTGATAATAATAGTCTAGAAAAAAGACGCTTAGAGATACTATCTATATATATCTTACCTGATGGCTGTACGGTTCACAGATAATGAGAACTGATCTCGTTCGCATTTCGCTTAGTCGGTGTTTGTGGACTTGAATGGACTTCATTACAGATCGAGGTAGGAGTAGCACGATTCAATTATTTTCTTATATTGTGTATCATTTTTGAAATTTCGTCTATTTACTTACCAGTAGTCTGCACGCATTGAGTTCCGCATCCATTTGAACAACATATTTCTTCCATTGGACAAGCTTTTCCAACGCCACATTCTGATGCACATGTACCAATACTTCCTGGCGGGAAAACGGCTTCGCATCTCGGATCTGATTTCAAGATAAAACTTGAGTTTTCACCAAAAAGCAAACTCATAACAAATACATCAACATTTGTTAACAATATTCGCAGCAACATTTGTTATAATCATATTTCAAATACACCCCCCGAAAATTCTGTTAAAGTTATCCGTGCTAAAAAATTATTTCTTTCAACTAGTTTTCATTTCACGGCATCATTGTAACTGTACAATCACTGCTAATTTGGGTGTCAACATTAACATGCACGTAGATAAGTCTATAATTTCTATTCGATTTTTTCATCCTCATTGTCCATAGTCCATAATTTCGAATAAATAAATTGAATATTTCGAGTTTGAATTTCTTGCTATTATTACAACTTTTGACGCCCGCAAAGTACTGCCAGAACATTTGTTTGTTTATCTCACCGTCAGCGATGACACGGGAGCAACCAGAATAACAACAGATCTTGCTTGTTCCAGTATTAGTTGGTGTATCGGTGCATTCATTAGTTTCATCTCCGTTGCACGGAGGTCCAACAATGTCAGCTGCCGGACACAGATCGACTAAAAATATATTTTTAGAACATTTCAACAACAGGCTTTGTACTAAAAAAATTACGACAGCGATATTATTGTCATAATTTATTCAACATTTCGACAATATAACAATTAAGAATGCCGAGATAATTTAATTGAATGTTTCCCATAAAGAGTCAAGAATGATAATTCACTCATCTAACGAGTGAAGCAATGACACACAATTTTTATTGCCATTTATCCCATTATAGGTAATTGCAATCGATGAAAAATATTTAGAAAAATAAAAAATCACTCACCCATAATGGGGTCAACACAGTCTAATCCACATCCTGCTACAAGACAGCATATTTTACCACCTGAGCAGCCATCATTATTCTCACACTGGTTTGAGAATGTAATGCAATTTCTACCAAATGAGTCGGGATCGGGACATGTCAAAACTTAAAAAAAGAAATATATATATATGAGTTTTTGTAGTTGAGGTTTTCGTTAATCACTTTGTAGTTACATTTCCAAAAATGTTGTGTTAATTAACGCAGCTGAGTTTAGATCGAGCAAACAAAATTGAAAATATGGAGTAAAAAACGATTCCAGACATTTTTAAACAAAATTAACTGAGAAGTCTTTTTGATCGCAGCTGCTCAAGCATTTAAAAAATATGTAGAATTTGAGAAACTAAACTAGTTTACACGCGTCCAAAAATTGAGACTAAAACTTTATTTTTATCGGTTCAACGTTAGGGAACCATCTATTATCTTCCTATTCCAGCATATACAAAACGCCAGAGAGCGCACAAACACAATATATTCATTTCTAACCTCGCGTCATGGGAACTAGACATATCGACTTAATGGTACAACAAATTAATTGAGGAATCAAAACAAAAAACGAGAAGATCGATCAGAGACCGAAGACTTATCGATCGAAAGTTAGGGGATCCCCCAAAACAGCGCTCTTACTCCATAGTGACACCTTGTGTCCTATCACTAATAATTAATAACTCGCTAATTATACGACATAATTCACCCAAAATCAATAGGCCTCTGGTCCGACATATGATGAATGCACATACAAAATCTGGAGCAGATTCAATCTCGCTTTCGAGAGATATCGCGTGCATCTAACAGGCAGACAAACAGACAAATACCTATCAACATACTTACCGATTAAAATCGATAAGTAACAACTGCTTTATATACTGCCAAACTATCATATCAACCTTTAACCTCCAGAAGTAAATCCAATCGCCAGTTACCGGGTATGTATACAGATACAACGTTTCGCTTTCACCTGATGCGTCACCGACTACATTTTTATAATATAAGGTCATATATATATATGTATATATAACACGTCTGGAGGTTAATAAAAATAAATGACACAAATATGACTCACCCACTTCCCCAGCCAAGGTGAAATCTTTCATGCAGGCCAACAAGACCATTGCAAATTGTAGAAAATATTTCATTGTTCAATGCGGGGCCTAAACGGTCGGATATGAAAATATCGAAATAATAGGTCTAATTAGGTTCATTCAAAACCTGGATAAAAGCAATTGTTTAAATCATATATCACCCTAACATATTCCAACAATAGCGTAACCTAAAAGACACTTGCCAGAATGCCAATTCTAATTATATAGTCTTCGCATACCCGAACAACGTTTGCAGCTCAAAAGTTTCGTTTGAGTTGTGCAGCAGAAAAGTTCAGTTTTAAATTCGGCCTTCATTTTTTTAATTGCGAATATTCTATATATACAACATTTTTTCATGACTCTTGCTAGTTAGCCGCAAGGCATGAAAGGAGCGTTATGTTTCAGTATCATTCGCAGGGTGGTATCCCATTTTTTGCATTATTTATTTTAAACCTATATTTTTATAACTATTGCTTTATAGTTAGTTGTGAACGCGGAATATTGCGTGCATCGCGCTTGGTAGCTGAATACAGCGGTGTCGGTTTTCAGACATATACTCACTCTATTGGTAAAACACTTTTAATTCAAATAGGCTTTAATTGCACTATGAGGGCTTAGAAATATTACAATTGACAAGTGTATTTCTAGCAGACCATCATGTATTGAAGTTACATGTAAGAGAAGAAACTTTGCAATATTAACACAAAACTGTTAAACCTTTACCTTTAGGGCAGATAATCATAAGATGAATGGAAAACTAAACATACATTTGGCTTGATAGGCAGTTTGCTGTTTATACGTATGTTTACATTTGTAATACTAAATAATGCTGGCTAAAGATGACGAAAGCTATGGCCGGAGGCAGATTACTATCGGTCACTATTCTGAAAACTTAAGTCTATGAATATAACAAAAATGCATTTGTTTTCCAAGCATACATGCTTATGAAGAGGTGACATTTTCCAAAATATTTCTCCTCGAACCTAATCAGCCCAGTCAAAGTTTGAAAAATATTCACAGTCCGAAATGGACACCCGGGCAACAAAGGTATCTTAGTCTGAATACGAATATTGGTTATTTTTTTTACTGTGATATATACAAGAATTGACAAAATTGTCGGGAATCATTGAACTAAATAAACACGCGTTTATAGCGCTGACTCGTCTTCTAGCAAACCTAGAAAAACGTCGAATATTGTAAATAATAAAATATCAAAGGTATATAGTTATAGCAGTTAATAAAGGTATAATGAGCCCTTACCGCCATTAACAACATCCCGTGCTACTGAAATTTATATATAATCTATGTCATTTAACAGCAATTAAGTTGAAATTTAATATAATCTACTTTAATTACCCAAGCTAAATATAAACTAAAGATATTCATATCCAATATGTTCCACAAACTAATAAATACAAAAATATATGCGGTTTATTGTTAGAATAGGTATTTTCTAATGAAGCCTTAAAATGTTTTACGAAGATTTTCTCAACGCTCTTGGTACTTGTTACGACCTGGTGAGGTTATATCGTATAACATCCGAGGTCAGATAAAAATATATGATAACATCCGTTCCTGGTACAATGCTGTTGTAATCTGTTAAAAGCGTTTTTTACTTTTTTTTTTAATTTTTTCGTTGTGGTTGTTACTTTTTTTGCTGAAAGTGTTTCAATGCTGATGTAGTTTTGGTGTTATCAGACGACAGTTATTGCCCAGATTAAATATAACTGCTGGTTGATGATACAGCCTATATGTTTTCCGCAAACTGCACTGTTTAGAAACTATCAGTGTTCTTCACTTCGTAAACAGGTCATACTCATAATATGCAATATACCATCAATAGTCAATGTGATGTATGTCGAATAAAACAATCCGATAACGTGGTAGATGTTACAGAAGACTCTTTACCGCCGTAGGGTGTTTGGGGAGCCTGCTAGTCTGCCAGGCACATTAGGCTACCACATACGGATATGCCGAAAGAGAGATTTATTGCCACAAAACAAAGTCAACACTATTATAAATATAATACAATAACAAAAATATTTCAGCAGTAATAGCAGTGATTGACTATTGCTTTGTGCGGGTCGGTGTGCAAGACCGACTTACCCTTTTTTCTCTTTCTCTTAGGATAATATAGGAAAGCACTACGCTAACCAGAAATTCTGCTGTGGACACGACTTTTACAGTATATTTCAATCATCTGCCTATATAGTTTCATATCTATTCAAGTCCAGAAAATATTACTGACTGCAATTTACTAGCAAGCACCATGCTTCAAGTCAACTAAAAGAATTTCTTGTCGACAGATCCTTCCAAATACCGGTATCAACTCGTGATATTTATGAATTTTGCTTCAGGAAAACACTCCTACTATCAAGCATAGCGACAGGGGCACTGTCATCTCTATTGAACGCAGAACACATGAGTAAAAGATATGTAAATATGTTTTTTTTGAAGAAAAATGTTAACAATCAATTCATAATATATATATATATATAGCAAAAATATATATCTATGGGTATAAAAATCTTTCTACACGAATTCTTCTAGCTAGTTGAATATCTTTTGAAATGATGGTTACTCCTTTAGCCTGAATACCACATAGATTTGTGTCCTCAAATAATACAACGAGATAATCCTCACTCGCCCCCTGCATTGCTCCTATGTCTGCACTTTGAAACCTCAAATCCGTTTTGAAATCTCGATCTCTCGCACCAGTCTTTGGAATGGAAGTTTCCGAATGAGAATTCGGTAGATTTTTGGTAACGACAAATATCCCGATGAGCTACTGTGCCTGGTCTATATCTGTGTTGCTTCTTTACTCCTCCCGCCGAAGTTGCGCATTGGTTGCAAGTTGCTTTCCTGGTACTTTTACTCCAATTGCATTGTTAGAGCAGTTTGCTTCGTACGACTGGCTAAAATTTCTGGGAATTTGTTAGTTTGCAGTCTTTTGCTGTACCAAAATCATATTTTTGACAAAAAAGAGAGAAAATTGCGGATGCAAGTAATACTTCTATCAGTTATGCAAATACGTCAAAATGAGAATCGAGTTGTTCTGAGATACCGCATGCAAATCCATCAATACAAGTGAAATCAAATACTCACAACATAATACAAGAATATGTATCACATCCTTCAAATGCTGAATCTCAACAAGGTGAACAAATAAAATAAAGTATGTGTGGAGAAAATGGCGAAAACGACTATGCAAAACTATCAAATATTGTTAACGGTGCTTAAGGTGAAGGACTTAAGGTTCCATAAAATGCATGCAAACATTTCTTACAACCATGTTACCCCTGTATTTCTCCATTGTTGCCAAAACTTTCATTCTTTAACTAATCTACTGCCTACTCAGTGCATCTTTGTTTGCATTACTTTCAGCTTTGCATTCCATGCAGCTCACCGTAATATTTGAAATAAATAAAAGTAATAGACTTCTAGCGAAACATTTAATTTTTAATCACTAAAAATTTCAAAGCAATTAGTCCAGTAATCAAAGAGAAAAATGATTTTTTGTGACAAAGAACAAGAAGAACAACAACAACATAATAACAAAACGACCCATAGATCCACTTACGTGTTCAAAAACCTCGCATTAAACACGTTGTTCGTTTCAAAAGGGAACTTGGTGAATATGACTGTATAAGTGGATATGAAATGTGTATCAATTTCTTTGATATATATATATTGGAATGAGCAATTATGCGCGAAATGTTGTAATTATAATGTTACTTGGAAAAATGTGCTTATCCTTTGCATCAAGATAACGGCATTTCATGGTCCCATTTCGTAACAAGTTAATAAACTTTAATGTTCTATGTTGCATATACAACGCTATTTGAACAACTCAAAAAAATTTGTATATGCGAGATTTGTCAAGTTGCAAGTAACTGAAAATAACTTGCACACTAAAAAATCTTTTGAGTTTATTGTTTCGAACACACCTCTTGCAAGAAACGTCGTTTGAAGAAGCAGATCGACAACATTTTAACACAGCATTTGAATATCTCGAATTTATGCATGGAGTTGGAATTGCATCTGGACCTATCATCGGCGGCCTGCTTTTTGATATGAGTGGATCATTTGATATTCATTCGCATTTGCAGGAATTTCAATTTTATTTGCAGTTAGTATACTTCCTATTGGTCTCGGTATAACAGGTCAAATTAAGAAACTGAACTTCTGAAGTTTATTCCATGATCATGATAATTGAAAAAGTCACTATACACAAGTATAATTTTAAGGGAATATTTAAACTAGCCCAATTTCGTAAACATTTATTTTATGTGGTTTAGTCGAATATCTCTGATTGATGCGAATGCGTTCGTCTGTGTTGTCGACACAGATGCCTAATTCCTGGAAAGGTGATTACGGTAGACAAGTAATAGGATTCAAAATTTAAATAAGAGGTCCTTTTTCATAATGAACTTACTAACTTCAAATTATCTAATTTAAGAAAACCATCATGAACTTAAAGCTGTATAACATGATGGGTACGTCATATTTACGACTTTCGTGTTGCCCGCTACAGCGTAAGAATTAGTAATAGCCGTGAGATAGGCAGATTCGTCGGAAAGTCCGTGGGATATATCAATAAAAATCTATTATTAAATATATCATATAAAAGACCTCGATCTCATTTGCGGCCGCAGTTCACAAAAACGTAATGTGGCCGTCTATATAACAAGAGAGCTTTGCTCAAATATATGGACACGTCACAAGGTGTCGCTATTTTTTACTCTGACACATAAAAAACGAATCTCCTAAAGTCCACAGAAATTTTTAAAATAAGTAAAAGTAATAGCCTTATGACGAGAAAATCAATCTTTAACCACTGAAAATTTCAAAGCAATTGGTCCAGTATTCGAAGAGAAAAGCAATTTCATCATGACGAAAGAGAAGAATAATACTAACAAGAACAACAACATAATATTGAAACGATCGTTATGTACACTGACGTGTTCAATGAATGATGTACAGCCATGGTCTAATAATGTCTGAAGAAGAAAACCACGATTCACCGCGTTCACGACATTTCAAGAATGAACCCCGTCAGGGAGGCGGCGTATTAAAGTTCCCCTTGAGAATGGAACACTCGCGACACAAAAAAAGTACACAAAACAATGTTACAAAATTATTCGTATGCAATAGCCTGCCACTTACTAGCCTACTAACGCTTTTCAGAGCCATGGCACCAATGAAATCTTACTGAGATAAAGTCGGAGGCGACATCGAATATTTTTCTCTATTAGGAAGCTCAAGTACCTTCGTCTATAATAATTCGATGGGATTCGACGGGAGCTTGCAGAGTAGCGCAGAGTAACCTTTGTAATTAGTTGGAAATCAAACACCTTTGACTTTATACCCTTGGTTTTATATATACCATAAAAGTAGTATTATATCTAATATGGTGAATAGGGTACAAAAAGCTTCTGGAGGGGAATCACGAGTCATGAAAGTTTCGGAACCGCTGCACTACTACAACCAGACAACCGCCTGCAAACACTGCAATAATTACAAAACACCCAATTCGGAGTCGAAACATTGACTCATCAGAACAAAAATGAGAGAATTTGTTTTATTCGTTATCGGTACCCGAACTTCATGGCTACTACGTGTTCTGTAGATTTACTGTATATAGATAGGTAAGTATCTAACTATAGTATATTTAAAAAGTTATGACAGGAAGTGCACATATGGAACGTGACGCTGAATTCTTTATGTTGCTGAAAAAATCGATTACAAGTTTTCAGTGCTTGGACCTGGAGCTGCTATAAGACATTAGTTTTATTTTTTCATATTCCTCTCGAAATTGTGGAGCGCGATATTTAACCCAAAATGTTCAATCTTTTTTATTCTAGTAAACGAGCTAGTTGTTACTGCATAGTACGTTGATAACCACATCGGAACTCCACGCTCAGCATTTCCGTGAAGTTGTCACGATCCAAAGAAAGAAAAAAAATTAATAGCGGATACTGGCAGCGTCTTGTGCTACTCGTATAAGATAGTTCTTATTGATTCTGACTTGCATTCAGCGCGTCAACTCGTTTGTGGTAATGGGTTTTTAATAACAGAATGGAGTGCGACAAAAATTGAAAACTTGACAGCGGTCTGATTTGAAAACTCCCGGCGCTAAAATGGCGACTTCCGTCGTAATTTCGTACACTGTGTCAACCCTATGAAATCATGAACAAACGAAGGCAAGAATACTACATTACTGCGACTAAGTTAACTTATTAGAATAAAATAATAACTTAATTAATTTCAAAGGACTGAACGTGATTCGCCACGAGACGAATACAATTAACGACTGTATGTATACAAGCACGTATGCTGAACACCGGAATCGCTACAGTTGCAACAGGGCAATCAATACAATTACTTACAATGACTTACCGATAGTGTAATTAATATTATTCAAACGATTATACGTATAAAATTAACCCGTTATTACACTATATTATTGACAGCGTGAAAGAAAATATGTAGTGTATATATTCAGAATATGATTTCGATTTATGCTATTCTCAGATGATTTTAGACGTAGGCTACTGGGGAACTCGATGGAACTTTTCCCGAGCATTCCTTGTTTACTTCGTGACATTGGCCAATCAGCAAGATGCAAACAGTGACGTAACAATGCCCCCCTATTTCGCATCCTCTCAAACACTTTTCTCATTCAGACAGATTAATTTAATTGCAGTAATAAAAAATTAGTGTAGAAATAGCTGAGATAGACTGGGCTAAAATTCTTTACCAGTACTTTTACAAATCAGATTGTTGTATGCGATGATTCATAATGATGGTTTGAAACATATACCCCATTTTACAGGAGCCAACTTGCGAAACCACTCTTAAAATAAGCCCCGGAAATTTTGCAATGATAAATTACAGGAAGAATTTTTCGGGGGTCAAAGGTCGGGAAAAGGTCCATATATATATAGATATATTTATTATAATGACGCCCGTATGTGCTTATATTAATCCTACTATAGTTTAGTTTATGCTAGAGTGGAACGCCTTTACGCAAATTGCGAAATAGTCTTATATAATAGGTTGTGTGTCATTGCCTAATAACCAACTTTGGTTTGACTGACTATTCGTACCGAAATTCCCTACTGGGTCCTAATGTATTATGACCAAATTCGTAGAAATTTTAAAGGATGTATACAATATGAACCATACAAGTATTAATTTGAGTCTCTCTCTGATTTGAACAAAAGTCAAATTAAGGTTAGTCACAATATTTATGTTTGGAAACCCTTGTTCTCTTAACAGATTGTTACAATTTTTCTGGCGTAAAAGATCCGGTTGAGACCATCTACAGCTGACATGGGCAAACTACGGCCCGCGGGCCAAATCCGGCCCGCGTGGTAATGCAATCTGGTCCGCCTGATGCTGTCACAACTAAACTAAATCCAAATTTTGATGTTTTACCTGAAAATGTGAAGGAATTTGTGGAGACTGTGATTAAATTTAGTTTTGGCACGAGGCTTATTGTTTTCTACTTTTGCTTTTGTAACACTGTGAATATTGGATAAAATGTAACTTTTTACCTCACACTTACATGGCCCGCCACTCTAGCGTGCAAAATTATTGGCTCCTGGTCCTAAAACCTTGCCCACCCTTGATCTCCAGGGTAAACTTCTTCGAGCAACAATTAAATATCGACTACTACTTTCCGTTAATTTTCGAAACCTAAACGAAAAATACGTTATTTGATTCCTAGGAAACAATTTGTTTGTGCAATAACTCAGACAGTTTTCACCAAATTTATTTTACAGTTAGACGTTTAAAATACTTTTAGCCGCTTTGCACAAAAAAGAGCAAATGTTGAACTTTTCAGAATGGTTGAAAAGTTCATTCTGGCTTTCAGATGGTATGTCTTTCAGTGATTTTGAAGATAATGAAGGTACAACATACCCAAAACCGAGAGATATGTTGTTTGTGCCATGTTTTGCACTCGTAATGCTGTTAATAAGATATTTATTTGAAAGGTAAGTAATAAGGTAAACGTAGGAGTTGGCGAGAGGACTAATAAAATCTTGTACATAAAATAATTATTTATTTTGTTCCAAAAGTTAGTTGTCGGATTAACAGAAGGCTGATTGATCATCTTTGTGTATTCTGAATGTGGAATAAAATATTGCAGATGCGTTGCCCTCCCGTTTGCACAGTACAATAAACTTTCTGATGAAATAAAGATGAAATCTCAAATACCAAATAGGACGTTGGAAAATTTTTATAGAAAAAACTCGGTACATCCCACGAAGGTATGAGGACAAATTTATATTTGCCAGATTAGTCTAAAAATCATTTTTGCTGAACTTGATTGGCAAGTATATATAATAAGGAATTACAGATGCCATGTATTAGTATTGACACCCTTTCAAATGTAAACTTTTCGGGATCAGACTTTTGATGTGTCCTAAACATCAAAAATATTTTATAATTTTATGTGTGCTTGCTCATCGAGATTTCGAATATATTGAAATATTCCTATTTGGGATCCCCACGGATATATACGTCCTTAATATAATTCCAGCGTATATAATTCCAGCGTGATAACCCTAATTCATTTTTGAAGCCTTGATAAAGAAGATTCATTTAGGTTTACAGTCTTATGAAACCGAACAATTTTGTTTCGATTTAGTCGAATTTCGAAAAGTTATCAAAACGATTAAACATAAATCAATCGGACATACGTATTTGGTTCCGGCACAGAAGAAATAGTGACAAACCGAGCGTACAAACGAAATTTATCGAAACGAGGTTGTTAATGAAGACTATAAACATATTATCAGAATAAAGTATTGAAAATTGTGAATCGTTTGACTGTAAATTTGTCACACTAACCATTTTGTTACCACTATTATCTGTGCATAACTGTAGTGCTTGTTATCAAAGCAATCTCGAGTCGATAAAAAGCGTTGGCCAAAAGTTAGGTAACAGTCATTATTACATATAGTTATATTAATCAATTGTTATTAAATATTACGCTACTTTCAGCCAACTCTGTATATGCAATGTTACAAGTAATACCTAACAAAATAAAATCGAATTGACATCGTATCATTTTTAAAGCTTAGACTGACAATAAATATGGCGGCAAATCAACGGTTTTACAATTTCTTACAGCTGGAAATTCACATATTACACCGCAATATTTATTTATGGGATGTCATATCTCTGACAGGTAAACTGTTTTTTTTTTTTATTCCATTTTTTGGTACAGAATTTATAAATATTTGTCATTGATTGATGCATGCAATGTTATTCATACAATTCGACGGAGTTGACAACATTTGTTTCTTTGACAGGAACCTTGGTTTTGGGATCACGCTAAATGCTGGGATGATTTTCCACATCAGAATCTCGATGCTGCCATTTACATTCATTTTGTTATTGAATCAGGATATTATGCATCACTTGTGATTTCAGCACCGAATGATATTATAAGAAAGGTAAAGAACCATACACCTCGTTTACGGTGTACCACGTTTTTTTTACAGCGCTTACCTAGCCGTGGTATATATCCAACACTCGTCTAGATATTTTGTAAGATATATTTGCCGCATTCAATGTTTATGGCCCTTTTCATATATACTTGAAATTTGATGCTATTAATGACTATTAGGACTTCTTCTTCAATACGGTTTCATATTTTCAGTAGGATTTACTTTAAATTTAAATTCATATTTTCCTTCTTAGGACTTTTGGGAACAGATAATACATCATATTGCAACATTGGTGCTAATAATATTCTCATATTCCTTGAACTTTGTTAGACTAGGGGCACTGACTATGGTGCTCCATGATGCCGCAGACTTTTTGTTACAAGGAGCAAAATGTCTATAGTATATCTTCAAAAATCAAAAATGGCGGATTTTACTTTTCTCTGTTTTGCGGTTACTTTTATTGTGACGAGGCTTGTCATATTTCCATTTTGGTAAGAATCTTCATGAAATATACGATTGGTGCATGCATGCATACAACACAATGGTGATGGGAATCCTCGATTTCTATTCTTTTAAGTCTCGAATAAACTTGAGTCGTATAAAAAAGATAAGTGGTTGATAAAGTATGATTCACAGCATATCCACATCTACCTGATATATTGATTCAACATAGCGAACTTTCGATTTCATTTTCAAATTCTTTCTCTTTTTCATAATTTTTAATTCTCCCCTTCTGATAAGTTGAATCATAAAATTGATTTTTGACCTTTTTTTATTTTACAGGATAAGTTATAACATCGCCATCACGAGCTTTTCCATAATAGGACCATACATAGCAAGTTTTCTCTCTACTGGACTTCTATGCATTCTTCAGTGTTTGCATGTATACTGATCTTTGATTATACTTAAAATAGCAAAGGAAATGATGTTCCGTATACCCGGAAAGGTATTTTCCTAAACTAAAGTTTAAGTGTTGCTGCAACAACGCATTATATATATACATTATAATATCGTTTATACCATGACAAATATTTTATACCAAAACACTGCGATTGTTTTAGCGTAGTTTCGGTTTAGGAAATATGATCAAAATTTGTGGTAATGTAAGTTAGATCAGGTGCTATCCAAGGTGTCAAGAGAGAAAATATCAAAACCGCGGTTGTTTTCAGAAACTCAGCGACGATCGAAGTGATGAGAAAGAGTTATCAGAAAATAAAAATGAGAAGAAAATCACATGAAAAATACAATGCATCTGATTGTCTTTCACGAATGACAAAATCCAATGAGATACAGAAATTAACGAATAAACTTGAGATTTTAAACTCAGTGTAATATACTTTCGACGCGCGCGTAGAAAGACGTAAACATTCTAATGCTAACCTCTGCCAAGTATGGCGCAGTCGAAATCATATTTATCAAAACATCACAGCGCCAGGGATGATATGTATGACCGAAAATACATGCTGAACCAATAATAAGTCATTATAAAGGAGTTAATGTTATTGATTTCCTGTTTGAGTCGCGTCAACAATCTCACAAATCTGACTGGCGATTTTGAAATCAACGCTATTTATACGATTCGCACTTTGCGTAACGGCTGGAGTCTCTTTTTCGTGAAATATACGACTCTACTATAGTACATTGACTGTAAAACACCATTAATATCTTTTAGAGTTGGACTAGGCATGAATAATACTGAGTATATGCCATCCGGCTGTGTTGGGTTTGTTAAAAGTAGGAATTACTCGCGTTCTTCGTTGCTGAGATTAGGGGACACTAGTCTCTCGCTTGATTTTACTTCATCTGAACGAGGTGTTTCAGAATTGTTCACGCAGTTGACGTTGATCGTTGCTCAGCATCTTAAAATTGTTCTTGTATTGTTTCCAATTTCTTGCGATCATAATATATATGTTAGTCTTGAAAACATCTTTTTTTCTCCTGTAGTATTTTCCATCGACATTCACGCGATATAACCTTGGGGACAACTGCTGAGTGCATGTACTAAATGTTCCTTTGTTTCCAACAGGCTACATGAGAATCCTCCGCCCTTTTTACAAGTTTTGAAAGTTGTTTCGTGCCACGATCGTAATATTTCTTGAATCTGGCGCGTTTCTGCTCAACTTTCGATTTGATATTTCTTCTCAAATTCGGCACGATCAGTTTATTCGATATTTGAAGAAAACATCTTGTGCGCTGGGACATTAGCCACTCTTCTCCGTCCAGTATGGCTTTTGCTTTATACACATCTGAACTGTCTCGATGAGCCTTTTTTGGACACGAAGTGGACATAACGATCGTTTCAATATTATGTTGTTGTTGTTGTTGTTGTTGTTCTTGTTCTTTGACACGTTTTTAAAAAGTCGCTTTTCTCTTCGAATACTGGACCAATTGCTTTGATATTTTCAGTGGTTAAAGATAAAATTTTTCTCCAGAAGGCTATTACTTTTTTTTCGCTATGACGTCATCAAAATCATTGCCACTGGGTGGCGCTACGTGTCCATATATTTGAGCATAGCTCTCTTGTTTTTTATCAGATTCTTTCCGAACTTAACTGCTGATTCAGCTTTACCATGCGATCCGCTATGAAACAAAGATGGCGTTCGATGCACAAATTCCCAACTTCGGGCAAATTCTCGAAATTCGACATTTGCTAATTGTGTACTATTGTCTGATATCATTGTTTTCCGTGTCTGTTAAAATTCTCCTTGCAACATCTTGATCACCGATCATGCAGTTGCATTGTTCAGACCGACCGGCTGAGTAGGGTTTTTAATACTTATTTATGAAAATGGGGATGTTACGATATGACGTAATATGATCCTACAACTGGTACCCTATGTGTTTAATTCCGTGTAAAACGTAGTAATCTTTTCTAACTGTTCTACTATGCGCTATGTATTTTATGTTTACTGGTAATATATATATATAAGTTGGTGATGCCGAGAGAAGTCTAGATAAAAAACGAAACTTTGAATAAAATTCTTGTCATTTCTATTGTCAGTTATCCGGCACATTTAGTGAACTCTGTCAGAATTAGAACTCACGTTTTCTTCAAAAATAACTTACAGAGTTGTGTGGTGCTACTATATTACAGCAATTGTTGGATAAATTACCAAAGAAAACTTTGTTTTTGAAAAGCTATCAATGAATTTAAAGTTTTTTTTAATTAAATTATTATTATTTTGTTGCGTCAGCTGCGACGTGTGTTCACGGAGCGATATGACGTACCCCGATCTTGTGAGACTCATTTAAACTCGTGTTGAAGGTGACGACCTGAATTTCAATTCCAACCAGGCCAGGCCACTTCACTAAATAAGGCACATCACCCACCAATTAATCATAGAAATCACGTTACCTGGGGGAACAAGAAAAAATACCAACCAGAGCCATGAAATTGAGTTTCGAGAGTATTCACTGAGAATATTTTTGACAAAAATAAAGCTATATTATATTTAAACTTCAAAATACTTACAGTGGGTATATTAGTTATATATATACCGCATTTCTCCCTCCTTACATAATAAGCACTTTTTTATTCTGAACTTGAAATTTGGCCTTGAAAGTGCATATTATACGAGGCGAAATGCGGTATACTTTAATAATTAGGCGGATCTTCAATCACACATGGGACACTGATAAAGTGAGCTCTCGTATATCCACCGCGCAACTCCAATTGGTTTAATATTAGATTATAAAATATAAAACACAAAAGTTGAATGTAAGGGAAAATTATGTATGTGCATCCTGCATATCCAATGTATCGACGTCTTCGCGTAAATGGTCGATGTAGTTTGATATTTCAACGACTCGTTTTCTGTTCCGAGTCGTTTCCTCTGCATGGATTTTTGCGATCAGCGCTGTAAGCCACGCCCCACTACGAGTGACTATATCATCTTCACGGTTGTCGATTTTCAAAAGATGAACGTCATGAGATGCGCCTATAGCGTTGACGATTGTTTCTTTGTCAACAAAAAGCTGTAACATATACCGGTGAATGAAAAGAGTGCTCATAAAAATGATAGGATCTAGGATTTACATATTTATCCCGAAGGAGAGGAAAGTCGATAAGACGGCTTAATCATATGAAGAATCACGGTCTCTCGTTCGGTTACCAGTCCATGTCGGGTACGGTATGGGATTAATTAGCCAGATATATGTTTTCGAAAGCATGGACTAATAGATATCTTTGAAACGCTAACCCCCACTGCATCACGGGTTAAACATCTTAGATTCAATCTCCATGACCTTGGGGTCTTGTTCAAGGTTAAGGTATGAAACATGTGTTAAAAATCTTCATACCATTCTAATATCTTCAGGTAATTCTTCTTCCATTTCATTTTTAACAACTTTTTCCAAAATAACCATTGACATTTCCAATAATTTTTCATTGTGATTATTTTCCAATTCACGAATTTGTGATATGCTTTATTATATTGGTAAAAAAATATTTGTCAAGGAAATAAATTGTATTTAATCGAAGACCAGATATATTTACTTACTACCTATTTTTTAACCACGTGTTTTGGTGGTGCAATTCAAAATCAATATTGATAAAAATAGAGATGACATAATATGAGCATAAATGACTACCTATTGCTATTAAATATTGTCATTATAATATTGGATACTATGGCTGATTAAGAAATTATATTTTGCACTACGTCTAAAACATTATACAAAAAAATATTTGATATATGAAAGGATACAGCCCTTGCACATATTCCACGAAACTTGTCATCATATCGGCCAAATTTCGTTCAAAATCTTTTATTGTTTCTTCCAATTGGTCCACAAGTTGCATTTCAAAGGCCATCAAGGTATCCCATAACTTATTGACAGTTTCATGATATTCACTTATTTTGCTTTCCAATATTGTAGCGTCACTTGTAACTACTAATTCAGCAAAAACCTGATAAATTGTTTTTCAATGAATGATCATAATGGTAGTAATAGTAAAAGCCAATATTTTTTATAAAGTCGAAGGACAGGTAAAGGATCTGAAATTTGATTACCGTATGTTACAGACCACAAGGCGCACGCACCATCGATAAATTGCTTAGATTGTGTTTTGTCCATAGATAGTCTTATCACCAGACTATAATACCCAACCAACACTGGTATTGATTTCGAGTGCAGGCATTAAAGCGCTTAAAGCACTACCTGATCCATACATTAGACGCACACCGATATATACCGATTATAAGGCCCTTGATCGATATTTGACAAATGAAAAGTATCCAAAGTGTACCTTATCGTCCATAAAAAGTGGTAACTTTTATCTTAACCAGTGATTCGGCTCGTAGGAAACATTACGAGCCATATTGATTTACGAAAAGTCAGAATTACCACGAATCTCACATGAAACAAAGGGATTCCTTCATTACCAGCATCTTATTTGGTCGATAAAAGGGTTTTTGGCTGTGATGCCTTTGCTAACATAACAAATAAATTGCTTTTTCATCAGAAAATGGGGTGCTTCAGGATTGTACCTGACACAAATGTCTCCAACTATGGAAAAAATCATTGGAGATCACGAAGCTCATATGCGCTATGATTAGTCAAGTCTACTCGTTTAATAGATTTTTATTAAATTTCTTTGTAATGTATGATTTTTTTGTATTGCTGAGGTTATGACGATGATGATGTATAGAGTTATGTGTAGTGGCAACGGTGCAAAAACATTTGAAAACCACTGAACAAAACCATTTCAAGAGAATTATATATATAAATTCAGGGGTGAACCCCAATGCAAAAATTTGAACTAACCCTGCCTAAACAATGCAGTAAAACCAAAATTACCTTTCGTTTATATTGTTCAAATTTATCAATGTCAGTTGTTCCCAATTTTTTGTTCTCAACTTTTGCATCTGCGACACATTGCATAAATTCATCAACTTCATGAGTCCTTCTTCCATGTTCTTTCATTCCATACTCGTATATTTTATGACATACATCGATAAATTTATCTTTGAAATCCTGAATTCAAATGACAATAAATTGGGTACTTCAAATTTCAACAAGATTGTTCAGATATGGTTTTACAGTTTAAAACTCATGTAAAATTAGAAAATACTTGTAATAGTTTGGTTCTAACCATCGAACCTAAAAATGGACCTAAAGCACAACCTAAAATCAAAACTGAAACAGGTACAGCGCTAAAACCAGATCAAAAAATGGCCCATAATCGCATTTTAAAAAAAATGTGACATAAGCTACATTTGTTTTACTGTGCTGACATACAAAAAATTGTAGATAATAATCATATAGATCAAACGTGGCCAACTTATTTTCAACCGAGATCGACTAAAATCTTAGCAATATAATGCGATCAACTGATTGATAATAAATTAAACAAATTTTAAGATGTTTAGCATGTTGCTAATGACGTCTGCTCTAAATCACACCAATCCAAACTTTGTGATAGACCGGCCGATCGCGATCGACGCGTTATCCACCGCTGATATGGGTTATCAAAAAAATATTTAAAATGGACTTCAATTTACCTGCAGCATTTCTTCCAGTCCAGGCAAAGTAGCAAGTTTTTGTCCTTCTGGATCTTCAGTGTAAAGTGAATCAAATAGGAATGAACCATTCAAGTATTCGACATAAGCATCCTGAAAAACAATCAGTAAAATCGAAAGATTCCAACAATTGCAAATTTTAAAAATTTGTGGCAATATTGTTTGCTATAACTTGGCTCTGTGAATGACACAGCATGCCATGGGTTCACACCCATAATTACCATGTGTGGGTTCGCAGGTTTGAATCCTGTGGGGTGGGGGATAATTATATGTGAGGGTGGTTCACGTAACTCCCACCATAAAGTCCATGCATTTGATTGACACAAATAACCGGTTTACTATTCCCATGGCTGGTTCCCCATATGATTAGGTCTTACTTTGAATGAATCCATATTTGTCATTTGCTTGAATGAGATAGTATTATAGAAATACACATAGGAAAAGCATAATCTCTTCCCAAAAAATAGAAAGTATATTAGTAATCTTTAAATATTCGAATGAATAAGTTCTATTTTGTTTTGTTTAAAGAAGTTGGATTATGATATAACAAAAACTTACCAATATAGCTACTTGCTATTTCATGGAAAGAGATTACTGGTATGCTATCTTAATTTATTAATTTATTACATTGGTGAACCATTCAAAACTAAATTCCCTATACCAGGGTGGTCCAAACCCAGGCCCGCGGGCCACATGTGGCCCGCAGTGTAATTATCCATCGCCCGCGTCGCCTTTACTGAAAAGTAATCAAAAATCGCATTTGGTGTTGTTTCGTCATAGAAATAATCAGAAAATCTTTTCGACATCTTGTTACATCACTAATGTCACTAAATTGACTAGTGACTTCACGGCCAGCTGAAGCAACTAGCAAAGTTGAATATTGTGCTTGGGTATTCCAAATTGTTCACTGGCTTTATATCTTATTGATTGGGAATATATTTAACAGTTAAATTAAATAAATATCAATGTTATGGCCTGAGAATATAAATCATTCCGGTGATTTTTTGCGACCAGCCTAAAGTATTACAAAAATGCTTCTAATATGTCTGAAAAGTTGGTAATTTCTCTCCTTTACCTTACATTTGGTAAAATGTGATAATCAATTAATCTGCAGTTATGGCAAATATAATCTAGAACGGCATTTTGCTATCATGTGAGCAATGAGCATTTTCAAATTTTGAGGGATTTTGCTTTGAGAACCCCACCGATGTTCGAACGTACTTATATTTGCGGGAGCACTTTCTCCGTTGTGAATAGTTCGAAATTTTATATCAAACATAGATATTTTGCATGTTTTAGCTTGATAAATGACAAATAATGATCAATTGTTTGCACAATAAAGTGTTTGTTGTTCTGTTTACCTGTTTCTGACACTATTGTGGCCCACGAACAATGCAAAAATAATTTTGTGGCCCGCGAAGTCGACAACCTTGGACCACCCTGCTCTATACCAAGTAGTGTCTACCTTTATTGTTGTGTAACAGATACGCAACAATAGAGGCAAGACAGATACAATGTGACAAAAAGTAAACGACGTAGAAAGAATATTGATTCATATACACAGCATTTAGAATAAGAACCAATAAAACATTTATAATAAATACAATAAGTAAAATATTCAATCATATATAAGTTATGTTTTAACACAATTTTGTTAGTTTTCGAAGTGTACTTGGCAACTCAGTGTGGAGCACTAGTCAGAACCCTTCAGGAACCGCTGCCCTCATATCACTTCCACATTCGTATAAATGAATAATACTCCCAGTTTCCTGATTTCATCTCACCTTTTCATTTTGTAATTCTTGTTCTTCTTCTTTTTTCCTTTCTAGTTCTTTTTCTTTCTGTTTTTCATTATGCATCAATTCCCCTAGCTTGTTTTCATAGAGATTGTGAGCTTTGTTCCTCTGTACATACAGTAAAATTTATATGAAATATGAAAGCACAGCTACCGGTAATTTAATACCAAAATAAGTAAAAGTAAAGATGAAAAACTGTAAAATATGAACTGAAATTGTATGTAATGAAAAATTAATACATGAAATGAGTGACATTTTTGCTCTGAACAAGGTCATAGAAAAGTAGTTACAGACATGGCTGGGCAGTAAGCGTTAGAAATACGCTCGCCCTGTACCTCCTATTACCCTGCGTTTGCAGGTTCGAATCCCATGCGGAGTTATACCCCACATGGACTGGTAACTGGACAAGAGTTCGTGGTTTGCCGATTCCCTTCCCCCCAGGATAAATAAGTAAATCCTAACCTATCTTTGTCGCACTGGATGAATGATGAGTATAGCACAGGGCTTAAAATTGAGCTATAGAACATATGACTTAATCATACTTAATAACAATGCACTAGCAGAAATTGCATTTCATTTAACCAACAACTTAAAAAATTCTTAAAAAGGTAACTACAGTTAATTTCATTTTCACTGTAGATGAAACTGAATCATACACTTACCGTGTCTTCATCAATTAATCTGAAGTCCAAATACACGAGATGTGAGAGATAAGCGACAGTAAATAACCTATATCCTGGATCATCACATACTGGACAACCAGATAAATTCAATGTTCGTAAATTAGTGAAACGACGCAAGTAGATGAGCTGAAATAACATAATTCATAAAGGCTATATACTTCAATATATGTTGAGGAGACTCAAGCAGAGTCAATGACTAACGCACTGTTGTTCATGGAATACACTACAAATCGGGACAATAGCAATTTGACTGAATTTGTGACTTGACGTACAGTGACTTTAAATGGGACTCGAAGTTTAACTTTTGATGGACTCCGGATGACTCGGACTCTCAATTCAATCATTTTTGATTAAATATTGGGAAGTATTTGTTATAACTGATGTATAAAATGCACAATCAGGGTTCCTCAAACTGGGCCCCCGCTTCATGTTAAAGCCAGAACTAGAAGAGCACGAGGTCACCGAAGGTCTTTGGAAGGATGCCACAAATCATAAACATTTGAAAAACACTGATTTAAATATTAGTTCCTTTCTAAAAGAAATACCAAATGAGCAAAAAAAATGAAAATTGCTCATTGAATCAACTTGAGTCTGATTACTTTATAATTCAAGGCGATTCACATGAATACTTCTTACATTGTCAAGCTGATTAAGCTTGTTATTTCCCACAGAAAGTACATGTAGATTCTTGAGGGAATCCATGTTTTCTAGTCGAGATATTCTGTTGCTGTACAAAGTCAGATCTTCTAACTTGGTCAATTTTGATAAACCTTCCAGCACTTCTATGTTGTTGAAAGACAAATCTGTAATTTATTGTATTTGAAATCAATATACAATGAATAAAATTATATTTGAATAGAAAAATAGGTTTTCAGGCTTCAATCGAAAGCCAAAAAATATTTACCAATTTATGATTGAAGCTTCTACTTAATGGTGAATTTAACTTTTTCAACTGTTATGCCAAAAAATTCCTTTCATTGTAAAATTTTTCTGACCTAAAGTCCTCCCCCCCTTCAAGATAATAAATGTATAAATAATAAAAAAGCAAGGTAACTCATGTCATATATGTCATTAAAACGATGATGGCAGGGAACACTAGAAAGAGGGATAGAAATAACATCTTATGATAAAATAAAGAGAGCACCATACCCAGCCATACTAAATTGACCAATTGATCTAATCCTTCAATTTTCTCAATAATATTGTCATCCAATTGTAATTTTGTCAGCTTTGTGAATTGCCAAAGATTATCAATCTTCAATATATCTGTAAATAAGTAAAAATAAAATGATGATACAAAATAAACAGAGCAGATAACTTATCCATTGCATTTATCACGGATGGGCATCAATAATGGGGTTTTCCAATATTTGACCAAATCATATTCTTTAAGCTTTCATGGATTTATCAAATGAGAAATATAACTGCAAGATCTATGGAAAGATTATGAATGAAAACTTGAGAGATGATTTAGACTGAAATTGACAGGTCAGAATATGAGTAGAAGGCTTCTACTTCATAAAATTATATTTACTAACACGTGTCAATCCTAACTCCTACCTGACATTACCATCCAAAATTGACGTCACAGTGACGTAATAGAGCCCTTCAAACTATACGAACTGTCATCCAAGACGCGCAGAAGAAAACCCGAAATCGAGCAGCTATTTATCCGTTTTCTCGTCGCAACGATCCCGATAAGAGAGAGATCGCTGACGTTAGTCAGTTCTTCATCGTCGGCACCGATGCCATTTTGGGCGATCGGATGCGTGTTTGGCGAGCTCTATGACGTGATTGTTACGCCGTATTGACATATTTTTTGAATGACATAGTCAGATGGGTATTAGAATTGACTTGTCAAAAAGCTGTTATGCTACAAATCTTTTTTCTAGTTCGGTAACACAACAGAGTGGATCATGAAAATAGTTGACTTGTACAAACTTGTTAATTGTTTAATATGCATGACTTCCTAACTTCAAGTTTGAAATTTCATTATAATCACAACAAAATATGAATATTGTAAATTTAGCCTAATATAGTCTACCTAAAGTAAAAATAAAAACTAGCTAGCTAAGTTTTCAAAAAAAATTGTCTGTCATTGTATTTACAGGTTTATTTACCCTTTTTGTGATATATTTCGCCATTTTTACCACTTACTTCTAAAATCTAGTCTTAATGACAACACGTCTTTGTAATCAATTCCTTCTTGTTTTGCAATTCGACCAGCTTCTTCCTTCGGGCCTTGCTCTTCTACAGCTTTTCTGAGCATTTCATCATCGATTACCGCAGGTTCAACGGTGTCATAAAGGCGACTCATTTTTGAATCAAATATAGTTATTTGATTCAAGGAAGGGAGATATGCAGAGGAAACAGAAAATGGAAAATCACGGCGCTAGCCGCTCACTACGAGCACCAAAAAAATAAGTGTTTGTTTACTCTTTGGCAAGCACTTCGCGCTTCTGCGTTGCTATGGATTCGGGCTGTAGTTTGCAAACGAAAGGATCCAAATTGTTGGTATAAATGTATTCACATAGGTATAAAATACTTTGGATTGAATTTTTTTATGATATTCAAGCAAAAAAGGGATATTCAGTATAAATTATTGTTGTACATGTTGCCAATTTTCGCACCATTGGTTTTTATTATAACCATAGCAACCAGTCAAACGAAGCACTATCCTCCAGGCATGACTAGTTGAAAAGGTTGATCGTGATTCGTGTTAGGAATGGAAGCTTAGAATAGGTGTTCTATTTTATACAACGAATACTGTTCGTTGTCTGTAGCACTGTGTTTTTGTTGAATTTAATTGCATTCGAACTACAGATAGGTTATTTTATGACTAGATAGCAGGAAACCAAAGACTTAACACAGGTCAGAAGGTAAAATTGAATGCATCGAAATCGAATTTTATTGTAGTCGAGACAAATACTGAAATATACAGCAGTGTAAGCTTTTTTGTAAACAATAGAGGGTATAGGATTTTCATTTGATACTGACCGTCAGAGAATTCTCACAAATGTCCCTACTGATATACAAAATGTGTTATTGTAGTGATTTTCTATATTCTAAAAGTAGTGAGGTCTGAATGTCTTCCACTGAAACATGCCTAAATAAATATAATAGCAGTATCTTGGTCATTTAAAGACATCTTACTTAATTTAATGAGTTTTTGAGTAGTAGAGTAGATGTAAATGTAAGAATTTAAGAAAATAAAGGAGACATGTTATTTGATGTTGTGACAACTAGACTTACTTCATCATGACATTGTCTCATTGCCCAATAATTTATTTAATAAAATTAAGCCATATTTTGGAGAATTGCTTCTTACCGATTTGAATTGGATTAAATTGAGTCACTTAGAAATTCAGAAACTCTCGATTGTGATGCACTGAGTGTTTGAAATGGCAGTGACTTTTTGTATAAACAAGGCAAACTAAAATATTCAGGTAACTGAATAAACTTCGGATTAATTTACTGGGTTTGACCCGGTATAAAATTATCAAATCAATTCTTATAGCTATAGACATTCTCTGAATGACAGAGTAATTCTGATTCTGTGTTTTCTAATTATCACTAAGTAATATATCTTATTTTATGTCTATTTATAGTGTTAAATAGTTTTTGTGATTCATATCATACCACAAATATGTTACATGTTGACGATGGGGACGAAGAAAGTGGGCCTTCGGTTGAATCTGTAAATCCAGAAGAAAGAATCCTTGCTAGGAGGATCCGAATCCAACATAGAATCGAGCAGCTCAAAAGAGAAGCTCTGGGTGACGATGCTCTCATGAAAAAAGAAGTCAAAGAAGAACAAGGAAAGGGAAAAGAACAGATTGAAGAAAGTCGAAAACGCCTGAAAAAACTCCTTGGAGATGGTAATGAACTTGTAACAAATGTACGAGTTGCCGGTGATGCTCGTGAGTCTGGTCATCGAATTGTTGAAGAAGAAGCTAAACGAGCAAGGGTTGAAAAACTTGAAGCAGAAGCAAAGACATCTGCTGAAAAATTCGATGAAATCAGTAAACGATGGTCAGCAGCTCGCATGAAGGAGATCCCTCAGGATTTACATGATATGTTGAAAGAGCAAACAACAGGTTGTGACGCTGTTATCGATGAAAAAAATAAATTGATAAATATTTTACAACAAGAGTTAAAACAAAAAGATGATGAATATGTTAAAGATTTGAAGAAGCAATCAGAAGATGTTGATCTCATTATTGAAAGAATGGAAGAACAAATTAAAAATCTAACAAAATCACACAGAGAAGAGCTGAGACAAATTGAAGATGCTTACACAGATGGTCGCAGTGATATGAACAAAGCTGATCGACGGAAATGGGATTCAATGATGCAGCAGAGACGAGATAAAGAAGAAGATCACATGAAACTGAGAGAAAAAAGAGTTGAGGAACATGAGCGCCAATTGGATCAACTTCGCACCCAGGATGCTGAAGAATATAACATGGTGAAGATTAAATTAGAAACTGATGTACAAATTCTGGAGCAACAATTGCAACAAATGAAAGCTACATATCAGTTAAATCAAGAAAAATTAGAATACAATTTTCAAGTCCTAAAAAAACGTGATGAGGAAAATACCATCACTAAGTCACAGCAGAAAAGAAAAATTACCAGACTTCAAGATGTCTTGAATAACCTTAGAATCAAGCTAGGAAAGCAGGAACGTTCATACAAAGATGAAAATCAATCACTCGTTGATGACTACAAAAGAATAGCAGAGCAATACAAGGAATTACATAAAAAGATGAAGCACTTCTCAGCAACTGATAACAAAAAATTTCATGATATCTGGTGTATGAATGAAGAAGAAGTACGAAAACTTGTTGATAAAGTTTTGAATACAGACTGCATCATACATCAGCAACAGCTTGGCTTGCCGTGGTCTGCTCCTGATACCGCATTCATGGATTCCCGTGGTCCATTGCTGGCAGCTACAGAAGGAAAGGAAAAATCTGCTTTGATGATGGCCAAAGAAGTTTTGGCATCAGTGGCAAAACCAAAACAGGATGATAGTTTGCCTTTGACATTCGATGATGAAAAGTCTCATTCAAGTACAAAAGTTTCTTTGAGTGCTGTTAAGAAAGTCTTGGAACTATTATGTGATGAGGCTGGATTTCTTGTCGAGGAAAAGTTGAACAAGCTGTTACGTCCCCTTCAAAATGAAGAAAGGTCATTGATCAAGCTGGATGCAATATTTAAAGCTTTAAATATCGAATCAGAGGATGACATCCATAAATTGGCAGCCTTTTTTGCTCAACACAAAGAAAAACTCAGTGACGAAGTGAGTGAATCATCTCTTGATCATGAAGTGTCATCTACTATGGACGGGAAAGAAAATATGCATCCAAATGAAGTTTTAAAGGTTTTGAAACAATTTGTTCAAGAACATATCAAACCTACAGAAAGAAGAAAATCGAAAGGTACAAACAAACTGACTGCACCAGGACGTGATGGCTCGCAAGACGAACAATTTTGGAAGTCAATGGCAAACATCATTCCAGAGCACAAACTGAAGATGTGGGATGCACTGACACAAGCGTTTGACAAGTATCATAAAGTACTCACAGAGAGAGATGTTAAAATAAAAGAAACAGACAGCCTTAGGCAACAGAATGCAGAGCTGAGAATGCTACTTCACCAATACATCACTTCCGAAGTCAACAGAGAGCTCGAGATTCCACCAACTCGTGTCCTTCAACTTGAATACAGCTAAAAAACATGTGCTCCTCCTAATATTTTGCTCTTCTTTAACAATATTATTTTGGTTTTGTAGTCACTGTCGATTGTTTTTTCTATATATATATTGTTATCATCAAAACAATAATAAAAATTACCTTCAACAATGCGATGTTCAAATGCAATTCTTTATACCAATGATTTAGTAGTGAATCTTTACTTTAGTAGCTTTATTAACTATTTACCTAACAAAGGAACTACACCTGAAACACAACCGGGCATAGATTCATTGTGAGGTGAAACTACACCGTAGACGGGTTTCAGCGCATTAGTCATTATATTTTAGTGGTATGTTAGTTGTTGGCTGATACCGATATTAAACGCAGTGGGTACAGCTTGTCCTCAATAAATTTTGAATGTAACACAAAGAATAACTCACGCAGGAGTGAGAGTTTTGAGGGCCGCCTGTTTTTATAATTATTGTTTGTATTCCTTCTGCTATGCTCATCTTATCTACCAAGATTTCATGTTATATTTTGATGTGTAAATTGAGAAAACCACATATGTAATTTATTTTAAAAGTTTGCGTTAGGGAGCGCGAAATACTTAACTAAGAAACATTCGTATGGTAGGAAGTAATGTACTGATACAATAGAGATTTGTAAATAATTAGCTTTGAATGTCTTTCTAGACAACTTTTTGTATTTCAAGATTTTATTTTTCAGATAACCTCAGTTCATCGAAGCTGTCGTTTAAACTGTTTCTGATCTAGCAAGCTAATGTTTTGCCAGATAATCATAACTAAAACCAAGGTATTATTAGCCGTGCACCTTAATAGTTTTTAATTTTCAACGTTTCGATCGGTATTCAATTGAGTGTTCTTTTGGTGCATTTTGCTTTGTTGGTGACAAAAAATCGTGTCGGTTAGAATGAGTGAATGCCAAAAAGAATGCTTCGGCATGCTCGTCAGGCATCGTCAAGTCATGACACCCACTCTTTGTGATTGCTTCAAATATTGCAGTGAGCGTTTTATCCGTGCATTTTGCTTTGCTGGTGACAAAAAATCGCTGCAAGCATCGGTTAGAATGAATGAATGTCAAAAAACATACTTTGGCATGCTGATCGGACATCGGCAAGTCATGACACCCACTCTTTGTGATTGCTGCAAAAATTCCAGGAGAAAGAATTACCATCTGGCTCGACGGTGTGGCGCATCGTGCTAAGCGTTAGGAATACGCTCGCCACCGCATCTTTGATTAACCTTCGTGGTATCGCAGGTTCGAATCCCATGCGGGGATGATCATGTGCGAGAGGATTGCTGGACTCCTCGCCGCCGTAGGGTTAAGTTAATTTTTTTGTTCAACCAGCGAACGTCGAACTGGAAAAGCGCTCTTGAAACAATGTAACACAACACAACTTTCTGAAGACGATAAGTCAACCACCCCAGTGACATCAGATTATTGATGGTTACTTGACGTCAAATAAACCTCACATTCCCATGCAGCAAAATTTCAATGGTTGGATAGATACCTGGGTTTACGAAATTCAATACAGAAATATGAAGTTTAGGCTCTAAACTCAATCAGATGACTTTTCCAAATTCATTTTTATTACTATTTGGTGTTAAATGTATTCCAAATAACTAGCGTCTTTTTATTGAGATCTCTAGCCGGAGTCTAAAAGGAGTATTTTTCCGCAATTAAAGTAAATATTTCTCTCTATCCCGGCAGCTCACACGGTACATCTTCAAGTTAAATTGTGAAACTAACTAATATTATCCGATCGCTTCAAATGGCCAGTAATTGGAAATTTCAAGCAATAGAATTGATGTTACCTTCGACGATGGAAAAGTAGCGACTTTCAGTTTTACACTACAACTGTCGCAAATGATAAAAAGGGATAAAATCTTCTGCCGTTGAAATCAACGCCAAGTGGGACCCTGCCAAATATTTATGTCAACTTTGCAATTAAAAAGAGGCCGGCCTTACGACCAATTTGAAAAAGGCTCAGGCAAGGATTTGAACGGTTTCAGATATTATGATATTGAAGCGAACTAACTTCTTTCTAATAAGAAAAAGACTTTCAATTATGTTGATGTTTAATCCATAACAAAGCAATGTTAACGACAAGCGAACAGAAAACAGAATGACAAGTTATCGTAAGAAAAGCACGTAAGTAATCATGCGTGACAAAAACATAAACAAAACAATTGTGACTCATAACGGCTATTATTAGTTAAGTGGTTCGCCACACTACCCCCCCCAGACGGAATGAGTTATAAAAATCTAGTGGGTTTACGAGTTTTTCTACCAAATTTGGTTCTGTAATCATAACCGGTTGTAGGTTCGGATGAACGATCGTCTGTAGAACGCTGATTGTTCGTTGTTGTTTTAGGTATTGGAGGACGTCCTCTTGGTTTAGGAATGGATACAGAAACAGGATGGTCGAGATCAAGATGAGCTGGCTTTAACCTGTCAACAGAAATAGTTTCGCTTCGGTTTCCAATCTGTACTTTGAAAGTTTTATTCCCATGTTGCAAAACTTCGAATGGTCCTTCATAAGGTCTTTGTAAAGGAGATCGGTGTGCGTCACGACGAATAAACACGAACTTGGCTTGATTGAGTGCGGCTGGCATTCTTGCTCTGAAAGGACCATGGTGCGACGTAGGAATTGGAGCCAATGATCCTACTCTTTCTCTGAGAAGCCGAAGATTTGTGGTCGGGCAGCTATTGTCTTTAGAGTCTGATATGAAATCACCGGGGACAGTGAGGGGAGCGCCATAAACAAGCTCAGCTGACGATGCCGTAAGATCTTCTTTCGGAGCTGTGCGGATTCCCAATAAAACCCATGGAAGCACGTCCAACCAGTTTGTATCATTGAGTCGTGCCTTGATGGCAGATTTCATTGTTCGATGAAAACGTTCTACCAAACCATTTGCCTGTGGGTGGTAGGCTGTAGTGTGATGAATTTTTGTTCCCAATAATTCGGCAAAGGCAGACCAAAGGCCTGAAATGAACTGTGATCCTCGGTCAGAAGAAATGTGAAGTGGAACACCAAAACGGGCAACCCAATTTGACAGGAAAGCTCGGGCACAAGACATAGTTGATATGTCTTTGAGGGGAATGGCTTCTGGCCACCTTGTGAAACGATCTACTATTGTAAGAAGGTAATTGTATCCTTGTGATGGTGGTAAAGGACCAACTAAGTCAATGTTGATATGGTCAAAACGTTTGTCTGGCATTTTGAAATCTTCTAAAGGGGCCCGTATATGACGATTTATTTTAGACTTTTGGCATTCCAGGCATGTTTTGGCCCATTGTCCAATTTGTTTGGAAAGACCATGCCACACAAATTTTTGTGAGATCAGTTTGCGAGTGGTACGTATGCCTGGATGCGAGAGCCCGTGAACCGCATCAAAAATTTTTCTGCGCCAGCTAGCAGGCACTATAGGTCGTGGTCTACCCGTAGATACGTCACACAGCAATGTAAATTCGCCGTTGCAAAAAGGGACATCTTCGACACGAAGGCCGGTGATAGCAGTGCGGTAAGCCTGTGTATCCTTGTCGTTTAGTTGATCTGTGGCCATAATTCCATAATCGATGCCGTCATTGATGTCGTTGATGACCGCGCGCGACAGGGCGTCGGCGACAGTATTATCCTTACCGGAAATATGTTTTATATCTGTTGTGTATTCAGATATGAAATTGAGGTGACGCTGTTGTCGGGCTGACCATGGCTCAGAGAATTTTGACAGAGCAAAAGTGAGGGGTTTGTGATCTGTAAAAATCGTGAAGGGTCGTGCTTCGAGAAAATAACGAAAATGTCGTATTCCTAAGTAAACGGCCAAAAGTTCCTTGTCGAATGCACTGTATTTCGTCTCGGGTTTGCGTAGCTGTCTACTATAAAATGCAATTGGCTTCCAAGATCCATTTAACTTTTGCTCGAGAACACCTCCTAAGGCAACGTCCGAAGCGTCGACTGTGAGGGCAGTTGGTGCGTTTGGTTGTGGATGTGTAAGCATAACTGCATTTGCCAGTGCTTTCTTAGTTTTTTCAAATGCACATATCATACTGTCAGTCCATTCGGGCAAAACCTTCGACTTCTTGGGCAGGCCGGAAAGTGCTGCGAATAGTGGTTGCATTATTTGGGCAGCTTTGGGCAAAAACCGATGATAGAAATTAACCATGCCAAGAAACTCTTGAAGGCCTTTTACAGATGAAGGGCGAGGGAAATTAGTTATCGCCTTCACTTTATTGGGAAGAGGAAAAGCACCCTCTTTTGTAACAGTATGTCCCAGGAACTCCAATTCGCTTAAACCGAATTTACATTTGGCAGGATTGATAACCATACCGTGGCTTTTTAGCCTTTGGAAAAGATTTCGCAAGTCCTTTTTGTGTTGATCTTTAGACGTACTGGCGATAAGGATGTCGTCAAGATAGACAAATACGAAAGGCAAACCTCGACAGATGGTATCCATTAAACGCTGGAATACCTGGGCGGCGTTTTTAAGCCCAAACGGCATGCGGAGAAATTCAAATAGGCCAAATGGTGTGATAATGGCAGTTTTGGGGACATCTTGTTCATGAATAGGTATTTGATGATAACCGCGAACAAGATCCACTTTAGAGAAAATTGTCCTTCCCGCAAGACGGGCCGTAAAATCTTGTATGTTTGGGACTGGGTAGCGGTCAGGCACGGTCATATCATTGAGACGTCTGTAGTCTCCACATGGGCGCCACCCGCCGTCCTGTTTAGGTACGATGTGAAGCGCAGACGCCCAGGGGCTATTTGAGGGTCGGATGATTCCGAGTTCAATCATGTTATCAAACTCTGCCTTTACCGCGGCTAGCTTATCGGGGTGCAATCTTCGAGCCTTTGCGTGCACCGGGGGGCCTTCTGTAACAATATGATGCTTTACCCCGTGTGCAGTGGTCGGGTTGCTGAATGTGGGGCGCGTTAAATCAGGAAATTCGTTCAGAATTTTGGCAAAATCGTTTTCGGCTACGTAGTGAAGGCAAGGCGGGGTGCCAGTAATCGTTCTGGTTGGAATACAAGCGTATGTGCTTGCCTCGATAAGTCGTTTGCCCCTGATGTCAACCAAAAGTCCGTGAGAGCGCAAAAAATCTCCCCCGATAATTGCCCGTGAAACATTGGCTAATGTGAATCTCCAGG